ACACGTTGCCCTTTTCTAAGAAACCACCGAAACCCCTGGTTTGTGGTGTCAGAGGAGCACAAAGGCTATGATCCCCACCAGGGGGAATATGTTGCTTGGCGAGCTCTAGTATTAAACAGATCTCACTATAATTCCTTTGCTTCCTTGGTCTCACCCGAAGGTAGATTCCGCTTACGTAGGCCCCCACTACTTGGGGATTTTCAGGCTTTGGCATTCTGGCAAAGTGCAGGTTGTTTGGAGCGCGAGAACAGCTTGGCAAGGGCCTTTTGCAATTTCGCAAAGACCAACGGGTCGTCACTTCTTGCTGAAAGCTGAAAGATCAGTCAAACCACAAGTTGTCAAGCCCGGTTGTGTCGATTTCGCGAAATGCTAGTTGTGGGTCAGAGATTTCTTGCCCGTATGAGTCCCTCTTTGAATCGTATTTTGTGTTAGTTTTGTTATGTTTGTTTGTTGTGCATTGCTTTGTGTTTTCTGAGTTCAGAGTGTGTCACGCCACCCTTTGTTGAGTCACCAGATATCAGAGAAGCAGCTTGTTTAGTCCCCCTTGCGACCCTGGATTAGGCAGAGGTGTAACTACTGTTTGATTGAGATGGGAGGTGCTCCATTTTATATGGAAACTATACTAGATCATTTTTCGGGGGAACACCCGAATAATTTGCCAGGTTGTTTGATCCGCGGTCGACATTAGTTCTGCAGCTTCAGACGAGCTTTGGAAGCATATTCCTTTCTGGTGTCAGTTCTGTTGAACACAGTGCGTTCGGGATTGTGGAACCATCTTAGATTGTGATCATTTATAATCCTTTTTACCAGTAGCGCTTTGATTTCCAGAAGGGCATCTAGGTGATGACTTCAGCTGTAAGTTTGCAGATGTTCCGGTCATGCTGCCTGTCGGAGGTTCAAACATTCCGGGAGCTGCGCCCAAGAACTCCCGTCGGCCAATCTAGTTTCAATTCCTACCCTCTAGCTGTGTAGGTACCATTTGGGAGTTTTGTTCAAGAGCTTTCTTGGGGGGTAAAAAAAGCTTCCCCAGAATGAAGGGCCCGCACTTGGGCGTGTCTTATTTCAGGTTTGTGAAGTAACGTAATGTGCCAAGTGTCATACTGAGGGCTGCATGAACCTTTAGAAGCAGGCTGAGCATCAAGATACAATGTGTTTTTGGGCGCTCACAGGACATCCGCCGATTTTGTGCAAGATCCAATTGTCTCAACTGGAAAGCAGAGGGTCATTCAAGATACGTTGCTGCCTTGACACAGGGTTTTCTGCACTGATTGACTGCTCAGTGAGAAAATCAAGAGACCCCTTCAAAGTAAAGCAACCCTGCAAAAGGGATCTCTTTTCTTTGTCTGAAAAGAGGTGGAAAGGTGAACCCTACCTTGAAGCCCCAAAACGATTCTTGAGGCTAGCGCCCCAGGATTGACGGAATTGGGTCCACAACCATCAACAAGCATCCAAGTCGTTTGAGTCTTCAGTGGTTCGGAAGCGGGGCTCAGCCTCTGCAGGGTCAAGCCTTCAACGTTCAACCACCACTTTGCTCGAGGGGGTGGTATTGTCACGTTAAGATGCGCTCTCTGTGTGCTCTTGATAAAATGTCAAAAGCTTGTTGGAGTTCAGTATTTTTGGCAAACCTGGCCTTGTTACCCAACCACAGGATATTCATGACAAGAGATGATTCATGGTCCGCCAACAATAGAGCATCTTTTCGCGGAGCCATTTGCTATTCGAAAGTTTGGGCACACGCAAAACTGCACTGACTCAACTGGACATGTGCACCAAACTCGAAGGATTAAAGACATTGCGGATGTTTCGGGTAATACTTGAATGAGGAGCAAAATCAACACAATAAGGTTGCGGGGAACTTCAATGCCACAAATCTCAGTCATGGTCATGGAAGACTACGGTGTGGACTTGGTTTGCCGCTTTTCCTAGGCGGGTCCAGTTTTATTGCCTGTAAGTAGGTCACTCGCCTGACGCTGGGCAGCCTCAATGTTGAGCTGGCAGCACAGGCGAGGGCTAGTCGACATCGGCGAAGTCTCGATGTTGTTGGAGATACCCTGGCCGGATCTGGCCGGATTTTTTGACAACCCCTATGTATGAGGATTCCCAACGCGACAATGACCATTTTGACGAGATTTGACAACAGCACAGTGATATGTGTCCGAATGGCTATTGAGCAACGGTCAGTATTCAGCGTCATTTACTGGCTTCAAGGGAATGACAAGGGGCGCACTAGGGTTACTCAGCAAAATCCAATGTCATCAATAATGCCCATGTCCCACCATTCGTCAATCCTGGTAGCGAATGGTTGGTGAGGTTATTCCCATGCTCAGACTGCCAATCGAACAAGCAAGCAGAACAAGTCGAACAAGCCCCCCCCTACAAACCAAACCAAAAGTGTGTCAGTTGTCTTCCCTTGGTTCCTTTCAAGTCGCCAAAACGGGGACCTGTACCCTCAAAGACGAAGAGCTCAAACTGCGGTTTGGGCCTTTTCAGTTGGGCGATCCATAGCACGAACCAGACGTGGAGCTTCGAGCACCAAAATTGGTGTTTCAATGGCTTGAATTGGTGGCTTGACGTTGGGACGCCCAAAGTTGGAGGATCTTCAGAGGGGATGTTGCCCAAAACAAAAGAGAATCTGAAGGGACACCGCCCATCTTGGGATTTGAGATCTTGGATGCAGACATGAGCATGTGTCAAAATCGGGGCCCCGACAATCGGGGGGCTTTCCCTTTGATTCCCTTTAACCAAACCTGCAAAAGGGGTACGGTTCAAAGACGACATCCAATTGGTTGGTTTCCAGGTTGCATCCTACGAATCCTACTGGATAATCGTGTGTCGTGCTCGCGATCGAGCTGTCAAAGTGTCAGCCTAAGCAAAGAAGGTGCCCTTCGGTTGCGTGAAAGATGGCATTCCCCCAGTTTTGTTTGCATGAATTGGCTACCGTCTATTTTTCACAATACGTGTAGCTAACATACGTGTATAGAGGAGTTGAGTCTTTCATGATTATAGACAGGAGAGATACACACTATCTTTCTCAATAGAAGCCATGGGCACTCGGACAACTGCTGGCTGGCGATGTTTGCCAGCCAAACTGTCCTCACTGGTAGACGCTGGTAGACACTGGTAGACACTGGCAGACACTGGCAGACACTGGCAGACACTGGCAGACACTGTCCTCACTGGCAGACACTGGCCAAGCAGACAGATAGATAGACAAAACGCAAAACATGAACGAATGGGGATGTACTTTTTGGAGGGTATTATTGTTGCGTGGGCTTAAACGTCGAAGAGGAACGGGAAAACCACCAGTTTGGGGGTTCCCCATTTTAAGAGACACACACACACAAATGGTTCATGTTCTAGACACTGATATCAGACTGGCCTCAGACACTGGCAGCCGGCATGTGCCTATGGCCTCGGCCTATGAGGTGCTGGTCTCCTGTCTGCGCTAGATGTCGAGATCCGAGCTGCCTACAAACGGCTTGCTCTACAGGTGCACCAAAAGGACATGTTCGGACATGTGTGTCTCTCAATGTGGAACCTCCCACACCAAAGCAGCGCTGTTGTCCTGTTTTCAGAAAATATTGCGGTGTGGCACTTTGTTGCCGAGTTGCTAGTGGGCCCAACCGCCTATGCTAAGTTTGGTGTTGCCAATTCCTGATCTTAGGCTCCCACTACTAAACCCAGTACTAAATTTAGTTTTGTCACTACTTAGTCTTAGGTTCCAACAAGAGGCTCATGTTTTGTTCAGTTAGAATATGGGTCTCACATTTGCTGCAGTTAGAGTTTATGGGTTACTCAAGGTTCTATTGCAGTAATAATGCATTTGCCTTTAACTGTCCATATTCTAACTGCAGGTTGTATATATAGAAACCAACAACTATTCGGTTTGCTTGTGGGGCACAGTAGTTCTCTAATCATGTCATATTCGGCATGCACGTGTGCTTCTGTGACACGCGCCTCAAACGAACGACCCTTGCACGCAATTTGCCGGTTTTTCAGTTCACGCCTGTCTTTCACGCTTTGCAGTCTGGCACACATAGTTTACTTGTTTGGCCCCGTGATGTTACCATAAAGTCATTCATGATGTCCCCTTCTGACTTTGCCCCCCGCGAAATACTCCAAATCATGGGCGCAGTTTGTTGAACATAAAAAAAGAACCTGCTGTTGCACTGGCCCTCTCACAAACAGGGGGATCTCATATATATATATATATGACATATTCTATATACCCCTCACCAAAAGGGGATCTTATATGTATACATAGGTATATATATATATTATATATATATATATATTGACCACCACCGTTTTTGTTTCCCACCCAGCAACCGCCTGTTTTCCAGGCCGGTCCAATAACAGCTCTGCTGACCCCGAGCTTCGGCCCGGTGTTGTGCCTTTGCGCAGGCGGGCATTGGCATGTTTGTCGACGTGTGGAGGTGGCGTGTTGTGGAGGTGGCGTGTTGTCGAGGCACTTTTTGCCCTTTGGGCAGTTGGAAAGGAGAAGGAGAAACCCGTTTGATAGCGGATCCTTGTACACATATATATATATATGTATATATAGCCTGTTCAATGAAACGGGTTGCGATCGCTTGCGCCAACGCACAACCATGGGTGTATCCTAGAATCTTAGTAGAGGCCATCAATCTGGGTCAACCAACCAAGGGAAACACACACACACAGTATTTGTTTGTGTAGTTTCTAGGCTTGCATCTCTATGCGTAGTTCCTGAAACGTAGAATGCAATGGATTGAGCGGAAGAATGGGTCAACACAAGGGGCCGCGTTTGCTTATGACCTTTTTGGCCCATTGTAATTGGGTGTGTCTCTTTTTATGGGTGTCCTTTTTGGAGTCACACCCAAGTGTTTTATTGGTGAGGGGTCTTTCAGCAGTTGCATGACTCCTCCATCCGTCGAGCTGACGTGACGAAATGCTTCGGAGTTAAAGCTCCCCCAGCGGCAACTTATGGCCAATGCGATCTGAGAACCCCGCGACTCAAAGGCGAAGCATGTTTAATGTGTCGCAGGCAAGTTTGGCGGGGGATACCTTTACCTTGATGGTTGTCAGGGAAGGACAAGATGGAATGTTTCTAGCGGTCCTTGGCAAGTGAGTGGACAGGCATGAAAAAGCTAAATGGCGAGGGAGTTTGGTACCAGGCTAGGTGTGGACACGTGTGGACACATGTGGACACCTTCCTGATGGCGTTGCGAGGTTATTAGAGAAGCAACTCTGGTCCTTTTCTTCTTGCTTTCTTGTTCATGATTTTTGCGCTAGATACGTGCGCTTCTTTCTTTTGTGTGGCAGAGTTTAGTGTTTGGGCAAGAAGCTTCCTTGCAAACCTCCAAAGCTCTGGGTCTATGCCGACCATGAAAGACTGCTGTAACCCAATCAGCATCCATCACCTTAGAGCAATCATGATCCAGAGCCCAAGTTGGGACCCCGTTTTCCATGCGAATGTTCAGGAGGAATACCTCCAACCCCAATGCCAGCGGTTTTTTTCTTGGGGGGGTTGTAGGCCCGAAACGATTTTTGGTTTTAAGGTGCTGGATCTCTTTTGAGATGATGTTACATTCAGGTTCACCAATGGGCAAGAGTCAAACATATTTCGTGTTTGGTGGAGGCAGCAGCTGAGATTCAATGCATTTCGCCAATCATGGTGACTTGTTGGTTCTCAGCAGAAAATTGCGAAATGACCCCATGAGCCATCCCTTATGGTTTCCTGGGCCCTCTTACGGGCCCCAAACGTCCGGACTGAGGCCATTCGGAGCCCAGCAAAGCGCCGCAGCCCGTGCCGGGCCCCTGATTGCACTTGGTGGTTCTACCACCTGGCTCAGTTGGGGTTGGAGTGAAGCACCTTTACAACCATGTGAGCAGAACCAAGTGTCAGCGGGGTTTGGGTGCTGCTCAAGTGAATTTGGAGGCCAGTGGAGGGTGATGTTTGATTTCCCCTAAAGGAAAGCAAGAGAACATGGATGCGCGTCACTCTGTCTAGAACCCTGTGTCAAGGTAGGTTAATTGGCTTGTTCAATATCCATACACATGTAGTCCTTATCCCAGATGGCGGTTGTTTTCACAGATGACGAGTCCACATCCATTAAGAGTGCCTCTTTGTACAATCATGCATATATATATACATATTATATAATTTTCACGCGGTGTGTAAATGGGGAATGATCCTTGAGGAGGTGAGTCCGTTGTGATTTGCAGTTGGGGATGACGGAGGCGAATGGAAACTGGCTTAGGTCATGAAAGCTCACTGGTATCCTGTTGTGCAGCGCGGGTGTCTTATTAGATATTTGAATCACGTTCGACTGCTGTTCGCGTAGATATCTGCCACGAGTTGCGGCATTAAACAAGAAACAAACAAACAAACAAACAAACAAACAAACAGACAAACAAGCAAACAAGCAAGCACGCAAACAAACAAACCAACAAGCAAGCAAGCTAGGTAGCAAGCAAGCTAGCAAACAACCTTTTATTGATTCAAACTGAGCAAGTGCAATTTGTCTGGCCCATGACAAGTGCGACTCGCTCTTCTACTTGAGCAGCTTCCTCAAACTTGCTGGTGCTCAGGGAAGGAGGGAACGAGCCCATTCCCTTAAAGGAAGCTACCAGTTGGATGGTATAGGGTCCACCAGTTGGATGTTTTTTGGGGGCATTCCATTTCTCATTCCCTGCCCCCCCCTGCAGCAAGGGCCACCTTTAAGCCACGCGGATCAGGCGAGTGCCTCCCATCTTCGTGGCCTGCGCAGCCGGTGTGCACTGCGTCCTCTCCCATGAGGCGATCCAGCGAGTCAGTCGGGTTGCCGCATTGAACTGCGCCCAAAGCTCCCAGTGGCCAAGTTGAGTTGGGTTCTACTTGGTTCTGGTAGCATCTCTCGGTTTCTTTGGTTCGAGTCCAAAACATCTCGAGAAAGATTCGGGGGTGATTTGGATGGGGGACACTATTTGGTGGATCATCATTTAGGGAGTTCCTTGAAGTTGTCCGCCATAGCCATGCTGGAAGCACCAACAGTCAATGTTTTCGGCGCTACTTAGTTAGGTGTGTGTTTGTTTTGGAAGGTGTCATTTTCACCTTGGCTTAGATCAAAAGCAAAGTAAGACCAACACTTTGAGTCTTCCCCTATTTTGACACATACCCAATTGGGGGAAGCTGGATAGATGAAAATTTGTGGGCACGGTCCCAACTGGAGTCCCAACCACGTGCCAGGCTTTGCTTGTGACTCTGGTGTTCAGTGCGAGGTGCTTCCCCATTATCCCCTTTTTTATGGTCGATGGTCAACCCCGAAAAGCACGGGTTCCGTTTCTCTCTGCGCATTGGCGTGTTTGTTTGTGTGTAGAACTATATTTTCTCTCGGCTGGAAGATTCAGGTTATTCTGGCCACCAATCGGCTCTTTCTGAGCGGAGAGATGGCAAGGCTCGCCCGTTTGGGGCTTGTCATTCCGCCAGCCCTTTTTCACGTTGGTCCCAATGTCGGCAGAAAGACTGGTCAAAGTTAAAGACCTCACATTGCTACAGTGCGTCACAAAAGCCCAAGTCTATCCCGTCGGCCTGCAAGAAGTGCGATGTGAGCCGGTCCTCGCTGAGGTTTAAAACCCTGAGTCCGCCATTAGTGAAAGTTTTTTGCTTGGGGAGCCTTTGCGTTGGACAGTTTGTACTGATTCGCGCTGCAAGATAAGTCGATCGAATACAAACACCTAGTGGATGCTGCGAGAGGTGTTCCAAACAGTTTGTAGGAATGGCTATCTTGTTAGGAAGGCAGTTTCAAGATTCTAGGGCGTCCCTTTGTGAGAAGGGCTCGTGGTCCAGACCCTGTCTATTCCGATTTTCTACACTCAATTCACACAAATTGCTCGGTCCAAAACTGTTCAGAGTACTAAACTAATGCTTCAGTCTATCAACAAAACAAGGCTGATTACTTTGAGACAAGTGTGACACGGCGCCAGCTTCAATGCGGGACACCCGAAAGGGTCAACTATTGTGTGCGGGTGACCTTAGGTGTACCAAGCTTTACATAAGCAACAGACAACATGTTTGGGGAATCTTGAGGCATCGATAGGTTTTGCAGGCTGGTTGGGATTTGGGTAGGCCCTATTGGTTTCTGGGTGGCATTTTGGATTACTCATTTGTTCGGTCTTGGCTCTTGGCTTTGTGGTGGCTGGAATCGAGAAGGGTTGTTCATTGCTTCGTTGGCACACCCGGATTCATTGCTTCGTTGCTCATTGTTTGTGCTGAACATGATATTTCCAATATTCCCGGCTATTTCCCAAAGAAAGTGCCAACCAAGGTTGGGCATATGACAAAACGAAGCGGCAGCATGGAGCGAAACCGGGAAAAGAACAATATGGAAACCAAAGGTTGGGAATATAAGGGGCTTGTCTTTACGATGACCACCACGGGCTTACTATAGAGGGAACGGCATTGCGTTCACTCACTATAGCTTACCCTTAGAAGATGGCTCAAAGCCGCACACCATGAGAAATGATGTTACGATGAGAAATGATGCTGACCCATGCTATCTCACAGCTCTTGGCCTCTTCTTTTGGCATGCCCTTGGCTACACACTTGCATACTTTACACTTTTACCATTGTGTCCCGTCCAGTTTGCGTCCTTCTTGGTGTCTGTCTCCTTCTCAAGCCTTTCCTTTCCACATGCCTTTCTCATGCTTCCCACTGCGGAGAGAGGGGCCGTTTTCATATCTGCGATTGTGTCTTGCTGCTCGGGGTGCCCAGTCGATGCTCGGATTCAACAATGTGGCTCCTCTCCTGCCAATATCGACTGCAATGATACAGTTGATCGCGATAGCTGCTGTGTCGCTCAGCCACACACAACACGGCAAGCATCAGATGTCTTGTCCATCGGAAGATCGAAAACACGCCCTTGGAATTCAAGATTTGCTGATAGCGATTTCATGCTTATAGATGCAGAGGTGGAGGGTGAGCGAAGTCGACAATGATGGCAGAGGATGGATTTGTAAAATTATACTCATGATCATCCATCCATCCATCCATCCATCCATCCATCCATCCATCCATCCATCCATCCATCCATCCATCCATCCATCCATCCATCCAACCGTCCATCCATCCATCCATTCATCCATCCATCCAACCGTCCATCCATCCAACCAACCGTCCGTCCGTCCGTCTGTCCATCCATCCGTCCATCCATCCATCCATCCAACCGTCCATCCGTCCATCCATCCATCCATCCATCCATCCATCCATCCATCCATCATTGTATCGTGTGACCTAACCTCTATCCCAGATGCAATCATCAGGAGTGGGATAGTGGTGCGGAGATGGACTCAGGGCAAAGTATACTTCGCTTGGACCCAGCACTACAGCAAGCATTCCACTGCATGGCTGGTTTTTGGTGTGCCGCAAATCGTTCTCTGAGACCATTTGGTTTCGCAATTGTTTTCCTTTGAAGCATTCAAATAGTCCAATGACGGCTTTTGCTCGTTGGGTTTGGAGCAACCCAGACTGGGGGGGCTGGAACCGAGCAACACCGGGGCATGGCCAGGTGTTGAGCCTGTCGTTGCCGGGCATGCGCGCCATGGCTTTCGGGAAGACAGGCGGGGAGATAGCGTTGCCAGTAATTAATCCTTTGTTATTCCTAAGAATTGTGTCTTAAAATGGGGGCCTCCCCGAGATGGTGGTTTTGCTGTTGGCTTCCCAAAAATCAGACCTCATGGGAAAATGGACTTGCTTGGTTAGAAAATGCACTTCTTCACTTGGTGGTGTTCTTGGATTACCAGTTTGACTGACATGTTCATTCATGTTCCCTCTCAACCAGAAAAAGTTGAGCTGTGCAGAAGTCTAAGTGTGGCGCAGATGGGGCTCCCCATATTCTAGAGGGTGTTTACGCACTTAAAAGAGGTGGCGCCCTTCAAACACATCGGGAAAAAAAGTAATTATAAGCCCTTCTTTCCGCCAATGGCCGCTGGCTTTTAGTGAGATAGATATGGCTTAAGTCATCGTTTCTTTTTTTGTTTGGAATGTTTCGTTTTTACGAGATTTCCCCAAACGCAGCGATTGCTATTGTTGAGACGATGATTTTTGCCGTGTCCACGCGTTGAGCTCAAACAGCAGCACACCTCCGTTGTGACTATTTCAGTCGTTGGAAAGTGTTGGCAGGGTTGAAAAAGGGCTCCTTACCTGTTGCTGAGTTTTTGTTGATTCGTTTGTTTTGTTTGGCGCTTGTTTTTTTTGTTGCAGGTTGGCCATGTCGTTTCGTTGGCAGGGCTCCTGTCTTTTTTCTCGCCCCTTTCGAGCCTCCCGCCAGGCTTGTCCTGGCATGGCTCCAGCTGCACCGGCCTGAGTTTCCGGAGGGGGGATTCGATTTTCGAGAGCTCACATCGTTGGGGGCACGGCTTTGGTCCTCACCTGTAGCCTTTTCGTCGCGAGAATGACGTCAAGCCCCTGCCTGCTCCCTACGCCCGTTCGGTACAGCCCTATGGTCTGAAGAGAACGAAGGAAATCACGTGTCAGGTGTGGCCTTACGAGCTCTGCTACTTGAGTACATTTTTTGGGGCCATGGTTGAAGCACGTGTTGGATATAGCTAGGGGGGGGGAGGGCGGGAGTGGTGGTCAAAAATATGCCCTGTTCCTTTTTGGACCCTGGTGCCGCCCCAGGTGCCGTCCTTTGACGCCCAAGCTCCCGCCTTGTACAGGCGCGACTAAACAGGGCCCCTGATTGTGAACCCCGTTCGCTCGCTTTTTGGGGTTGCTGGTTCCGTTCCGTTAGGCCTGGTCCTCAGTGACGATGGCTTCGCAATGGTCCACTTGCTCGAGAAGGCCGGAGGGTTCCATAAATGTCTCAAAATGAGTTCTCGTGTTTGTTTCCGAGGGTACCCCTGCAAAAGTCAAGGCTTCCCTCAGCGGGGCGGCCCATGCCTAGCAGGTCTCTATGAAAGATATTTACATTGACATGTTCGACAAGATATTATGTATCTATATATATATATGTATTTATCACCTTTACGGGCTGTTTTGAAGAGTGTGTTCATAACCCATGCGATGTTGGGATGTACTGCATCTTTGCAGGAATCCAAGCGTGTGGCAAGAACCACTTCATTTTTGGGTGGATCATCCATCTCACTACTGGCGACCTCTGAATCAATATGTGAAACCAAGCAGGGCTTACCAGTTGACACACTTGTTGACAAAATAATCCAGTCACACCGAAGCATGGACGCCTTGCATGGTGCGAGGGTTTCCAGTGGGCCCTTTTGTCCTTTCGAACAAGGCCTTGTTGGGGGGCGATCTGAACCAAAGCTCACAGTCGATTCGCCACTTCCAGGAGTCTTTGGAGACCGGATCTGGTTTGCCGGAGGAGCAGCGCAGCTACCAGCTCGTCAGGGCCTTAGCCTTAAAACTAACCCAAACGGGGCGCCCTACAAAACCACACACACACACACCGAGTAACTGACAAATCTGCTGATCAACCTTTGGATACTTGTTTGGTCAACCACTAGAGAGGGTTTCTATCCCTCCCACAATGGGTCTAGGAGGAAAGGAGCTCGGTTTGGGTGGCCATGTAAATTGACAGTGTAGTGGGAATTTGGGCCATTTGGCTCAGCTGTGGTATGGTTTGGCAAGTTTCCAGGTCTAAGTTCCGGTGAGCTTTGGGGATAGAACGAGCTTGCGGCTCGCCAATTGCTGTTTGTTTTTTCCGTCGGGGGCTTCAGGTGCTCGACATCGTAGGTGTGTCAAAAGGACTCTGCCCTTTCAAAAGGAAAACAAGCAAGGGCATCCTAGCAACCAGCCGGGTGTGTGCACTTCTTGCAAAACAAGTACGTCCATGCGAGCAGCAGTCAACATACAAAGCATCATCTACAAGTGTAAAAGGGTCGACACGAGACGCGCTCCCCCCCCCCAATCACGTAATTTTCTGTTGGATCCCATTTGCCCAGCACCAAGGTCTGCAAAGCTTTGGGCTCCCTCCCTTTCAGCTGCACCGGCGCTGAGCTTCAGCAGTTTCTCGGCTAGGGCTAAAAGTGTTGTGTGCGTGTTTGTGTTTCTGTGTGTGTGTGCGTGTTTGTGTGGTTGTGTGGTTGTGTGGTTTTAGTTGTTTTGCGTGTTTGTGTCTTTTTTAGCGTATCCTTTCCAGTTTGGTGTGAAGGGAGAGCAAAAGGGACACCACATTCTTTAGGCAACTGGCAGTAGGAAAGTCTGTTGGTTTTGGGGAGGACATGGCCCAAATACTTCCAGGCAGGACAACCCAACTGTCCCAGCTCTGGTGGAAGCAAGTGTTCTTGTCCGTGGCGTGTATATTGCAGAACTCTTGTTTCTGATTGATGACACCATGGACAGCACAAGGTGATGGAGTTGTTTTTTATAATTTGTCAGGCAAGGCAGTTCTCAGAGACCAAAGGTCATCTCAGGAATATCGCTGAGATCATCTACCGTCGCACTTGGCTGTACACAGAAACGCCCACTGAGCCAAGAGGCCTAATGCAAGCACATGTCCATATGAGCCACAATCAAGACCCAAACAAATGAAGGTTAGTACAGGACGGTCCCAGCCAGAAACAGCTGCGGCCGCCTTTGTATTTCCTTACAAGGTTCTGGGTCAACCATTTTAATACAACGATTTGATTGTGACTCATATTGGTTTGGGTTGGAGGAACCCCTATGAATACCGATGGATCAAGCCACCAATTCCAGCGTGCCGATCGGCGTGGATTTTGTCGATTCAAGCGAGGCTCAGGCCATCGGCCAGCTCAGGACATGGGAAAGCGGCAGTCGCCACTTCCTCAAATTACTACCCCCAGAAGGATGGTCCGCTAGCTCATGGTCACATCTTGGTTTATTTATTGTTGTGTTATTTGTTGTTTGTTTGGCTTGTTTGTTTTTTTTTTGGGGGGGGGTAGGCCACATAGCGATTTATGCCTTGCCTTCCGAATCACCCGGTCCAGTGGCAACCTTTCCTTCCGTTACATTCGTCTTTATCGGGTGGGTTTCCCTTTGAAACCAACCAAGCAACGGGGCGAACCCTACGCGAGCCCTCGCCAACCAAAACTGGCGCCCGGGCCCGTGAAGGACTGAATTGGCTTCTTTGCGCCTCGACTTGGGAGGGCCTCACCACAGCGTGGCCCCCAAGGATGGATGCTGACCTACACCTGAGCTGGATTTTGTGGTTCTGGGCCCCTTTAAGCGAACATGTTGAGGGGGTTCGAAAATGACTTTGGGATATGGCGCTTTCCCCTTTGAACGACTGTTTTGAGGTATATAATCCACTATTTAGAGGGTGACCCAGTAGTTTTCAAATTTGCAACTTGTTGGGGTACTAGATGCCTGCTTCATTTGAGTAAAGGCCCAAACACGTTCAAGCTGTTTCTGGCCAGTCCTTTGAACAAAACAGTACAGTACATGGACCCTGGATAAACGAGAAATCGCCACGGCACGATGCCCGTCCGTGCAAATCCTGACTCGGTTTTGGATGCCTTTTGCCTGGAGTGCCCATCACACACACACAAGCTCGCCAGAATCATTGCATCACTCCCAGATGTTACCAACGAAAAGTCCTCACGCCAATGATGGACCACCCAGTGCCACCCGGTGACTGTTGGCCTAATTATGTCGTAGTGACTTGCCTGTACTGCAGTTGTACAGTATATTTTTCAGCGCGGAATCCTACATGACTAGTGGCTGTATGCATGTCCTTGAATGGCCGTCATTCCCCATCAAACAAGTTTACCTTCTTCATCTGGATGGGGAGAGGCGACTTGTAAGTGCTGGATTTTGATATGGAGGGGACTTGTTCTTTCGGTTTCCCTTTAAACCACTTGCAAAAAGGGTACCCTCAAAACAAACACACACAAATACACACACACAGACGGACCTGCAAGCGTGCGTGCGTGCGTGCGTGGGTGTGTGTTTGTGTGTCCTTCATCTTCTTGGAATCATCTTTCCGGCCATGGAAGCTACCTGAGTGGCTTGAACCTGGACCATTTTTCACTTCTCTGAATCCATGGTAGCCTGGGACAAGGAAGAGTCCTTGAGTTTTTCGGAATTTTGAAGCCGAGCATGTTTTTCTGTGGGGCGTCACCTTGAGGTGCTGCTGGCCGCTTGGAATGCATTTGGCTGCCGGGTTTGTGTGACTCAAAAAGGGCCGCTGGTAGTTTTGCGCACACCAACAGAACAGTTTCAGGCAAGCCAAAGTCCAACCTGATAACTAGTAGGGACCCTTTCCCATGGCCAAACCTCAATCTGCTTTCCTCCCTCGCACCTGTGAATCATGACCTGCAGCGGTAAGTTAACGACCAGACCGCTTTCTCAGCTGGGCAGGGGCCTCGCTGGCCACTTTAGTCTCAGTCTGTCAGGATAGAGCTCCCTCCCACGGGGGACATTGAGGAATCCCACTTCCCATTGCGCATAAAAGACCTCTTAGTTTCGACAGCTGCTCACATGTCGAAACATGACCAGGTCCCGTTTCATATATGTTTCCTTTGTGTCCAATCCTTTCTTTCAAAATGAGTCAACGAATATATAGTCAATTGTAACGCGCTTGGACCCTTATGGCACGTGTTTTCGAACCAGGCCACAGTTCAATTCCCGGCATCGGCCAGAGTTGCCTCCTTTGGCCTCTGAACGATGTTCAAAAAGCAAGGGCTGAAAATCAATATCAAGACATCCTTTTAGATTTTCTGTTCGGTTAAATATTGTTTTCCTTGGGACCATTCCTTTTCGGTTCGTTTTCGGTAGGCTCCCTTTCCGGCTTCGCTCGATTCGCTCGAAGTGGGATTCAACCCTAACCAAAGAATCCGTCGTAGGGTGGAAGCCCAGGAGCTGCGCGGCGGGGAGTTTCGCATTGCCCAGCCGCAGCTGCAGGCGGATGCGATTGGTTTGCGCGCCCACAGAACCGTGGAATGGAAAGGCTAAAACAGGGCTCCTTAACAGATACATTTTGCCCATTTGAAACATGGCTTTTTGCACCAAAATAAAGGGAACCCACCATTTACAGTGCAATGTTCAGGTGTATAATGTAAGGATCCCTGTAAAACCTGCGGGCCAAATCCTGGTGGGTTAAATTTGACCCATACCATCATTCCCTGCATTCGACTTGTACTGGTTTGGAAGGCTATTTGGTTGCAATGAACAGTTTGGCCAGTACCGGACTTTGTTAATTACCTCACCTGCGCTTCCAACATGCAAACCTCTCTTGAAGTCCTTCCAGGTTTCATGCAACATGGAGAGCTAATGGACATGGTAATGGGCCATATGGGGGGTTGCGTTCTTATCGTCAAACTAAAGGGAAGCCTTTCAAACCAGGGTCGGGACCACGCGAAACCCTTTTTTTTTTTTGGGGGGGGGGGGTTGGTGTACGGGCCATTCTTTCAAGCACGTTGAAAAGACATGGGGGCGTGTTTAAAGGAATACCACATTTTGCCAACGCACAACTCTTGCAGGTGCAACCCACATTGGGAGGTTTGGAGGGTCTCGTGTACCTATGCCGGCAGCCATGGTAGGATCACCTTTGAAAAGACGAATTCATCGCGTGTGGTTCATAGCAAGAGAGTCTCCACCCACCCCCCACAAAAAAATGGTTGTAATGAACCTGCATAATTTTGGGCGCCTCTCTTAGGGTGGAGACTCCCTTTTGATACATGCCCAACCATCAAAGAGTGGCACCGGGGTTGAGCTTTGGGAGGTTGGGGAGGGGAAGGAGGTCGGAGGTCAGAAAACCGACCAGAGTGGAGATTGGATAAATGGTTGGACAGGAGTCATTTGGCAGTCCTTGGCTGAATGGCAAACATAAGGGTATGTGTTTGTTGGTCATCTCGGTATACCTGGTCAACCCAAGTTGAAAAATAAAAAACAGAGACTCCATGTTAGCGGGCTGAGCCGTGTGTTTGGCACGCACCGTCCTAAGACGGCTATCATATATGATATGCAACCAAGTACTTCCTGTTTCCATTACAGATACCTATGCTTCTAATCACCTTAAGAATTTGCATGGTCATCAATAACCCTCCCTCCAACAAAAATGGAAGTGCAAAGCCCTTGGGAAAGCTACTGTCCTCTTCCAAAAGGGCCCTATGCGCCTGTTGTGTTTTGCAAGAAGGCACGCTAAACGGGGGAGTCTTCTCGACAGCCGAGCCCGTCAGGTGAGGCGTCCAAAGCAAGGCGCCCTTCCGATTGATGAATCGAGTCGCAGCAAGCCACGTCGAAGCGTAATGCTGGAGAGTGATTAATAAAGGGGCCCCCCTCCCCTCTCAAACGAATTGGGGGGGTCAATAGCGAAACCCCCAAAAAACAAAATGGGGGTCACACTGGGACCTGCCTGAGTAGTTTTCCAGTAAGTATTGTTTAGAATTGGTTTAGTGTTGGTTGAGTATTCCTTTGAGCTGGCTCACTACGGTTTAGAATTGGTTTAGTATTAGTTCAGTATTCTTTTCAGTTGACTCACTACAGTTTAGAATTGGTTTAGTATTGGTTTAGTATTCCTTTGAGCTGGCTCACAACGGTTTAGAATTGGTTTAGTATTAGTCCAGTATTCTTTTCAGTTGACTCACTACAGTTTAGAATTGGTTTAGTATTGGTTCTTCTTCTTGGCAAGCTGCCCTGGCCATTTTGTTCACAATTCCCTACCCTTAAACAAACTGCGTTATTGCCTTCCTGGGGGTTCCGTGTGCCACCCCCTTGAAAATTTGTCAGGGAGCATCTTCTAGTACAGGGATTGATAAGGAGTTTGGTGGTTTGAGACAGGAAGCAATCCAGAGATTCTGGACATTTCTGGCTTTACCTGAAAGGACACTTCAGGCTGCCACGCGTTTTGGAAGAGAACTGTCTTCCTCGTGTGCTTGATGAGCCTCAGCCATCAGTGAGATGTGTATATTTCTGGTCGCAGCAAAAAGATCTCAAGGAGATGCGGAGAATCCTAATTTCGAGACAGACCAAAGAGCTCTGACAGGTTGAAAAAGAAAACACCAACAAAACGAGATCTATTACATCTCCCTGCGACTGGCCAGGCCCCGTGCAGGCCGCATGCTGCACCGCCTGGCCAGGCCGGGCTCGGGTTGAGTGCTAAGTGGATAGCCCGCTCTTTGGCCCTGGCCCCAACACCCCCAAGCACCAACAGTCACCACAATTCGGAGGACCATTCAGTGGTGGTTGATCCAATTTGTCATGATCCACTGTTAGTGCGTAGATGAGATGTTTGCTGTTTTGGGGGTACAGAAGTTTGGGCCAACATCACGTCGACCGGGCGTTGAGTACTGCCAGTCATCGGCACCAAGCGCGAAAGTGCAGACATCCACTGCAAGTGGGCGGGGGCGGAGTCCAACATTCGTAATTGCTCATTGTCCTCGTGGGAAACAAAGAGTGGCTTGGTAGAGGTTGTTTTTTCAGGCACTCAACACTTGAGTTGGGATACGGCTGAGTCTAAAAGTAGGGTGGTTTCCCTGGTTCCTGGCATTTGGGGGAATTATGTAATCATACTGATGTGTTCGGTTGTTTGTGTTTTGGATCCCATGGAAAGGAAAGGAAAGCTCAGTCAGCCGGGCGTGTCCCTGAGAACATGTTCCAGCTGACGTGCTGTTTTTACATCATTTCCATGCAGAAAGTGTCCAGCTTGCACTACCGCACCATTGAAACAGACTCTTCCCCCCGGTTCATTCACAGCCCTGGGTTCCTATGGCATGAGATCGGCGGCCGCAGGTCGAATGTGGCCGCGGCAAATTCACCTGTCGCGACCAATACGCAATAAAATGTTGGCGAATCTAGAAGCGGGAGCGACCATCTGTGGCCGGAACCTGGAAAGGTTGTCCGTTTATGATGATGAATTTATTGTGTTTGTAGGTATGCCGCTTATTCAGATTTGGCTTCACTGCCTGTTCATGTCAAGTAGCGGAATTGCTTGCACGGAAGTCCTTCAACAACCAGAAAAGAACCGAGCCCACACCCGTTGGTGCTTAATATTGGTGCTTAATAATGGAACCCATGACCAACCCCATGGTTGATAGTTGGGGTGTCCCAATGAAGAGGGAGTCCTTCGCTTTCCGGGGACAATTACTTTTGTCAGCCACGCCAGTTGATTACGCAGATCCCCTGGTTCTTGGCGATTTGTTGGATGTATCATCGGTGAAGGATTTGTTGTCCAGGTCTACAAAGGCGGGTTGTTGTTGCATGACGATATGGCAGGCATTGCTGCCGGAGCCCTGTGGCCTAAACCTTTTTCATTCTCGTGCATAGCCGTCCCACGTTCCAACAGCTACTCAAAACCTGTGTGTTTTTCAAGCGTTTCCGTGTGAATCCGCCGAACACATGTGGTCCCCCACCAAAACCCCACATGCCCAGTCGACCGTTGCAGGTTTGGACTGGCAGCAGCTTTGCGTGGCTTTGCCAGGCCAGACTTGGCACTCCACGGCGCTGCCAGAGGGGCTCCATAGCAACCGAGGTTCATTTGTGTCTTCCTTGAATGTGTGTGTGTGTGTTTTTTTTTTGGGGGGGTGTCAATATGACTTTTCGCTGTGGTTTCCCTGTAAACCACAATTTGGAGGGTAAATGTCAACGGAGTGAAGTGAAGGATTCCCTCATGCGGAACCCCTGCGCAAATCCTGGACCAGGGGTCCTGCAGTTTGTGCATTACTTGGACCAATTGTGGCTAGTTTTCCTCTTGGTGATATTTGAAGGGGGAATATTTCTTGTGGAGGAACGAGGAAATGAGTTGGAAATGACCCCGAACTGAACCATCCCTCGTGGCTTCCTTTGAGGGAAAATTCCCAGTGACATTTCAAGAAGCAGTTGATTCCCTACTGAGACCTGTATGGTCCCATGCGGCACTGTTGTCCCTTCTCAGCCGCACGCAAAGACCAGATGGCCACCTTAAAAGGGAACCAGAAGGTTGTTTAAACAATTGGTGGTTCAACCTGTTCAAAGAAATTGGCCCAACCCTGGATTCAGACTTCTGACAAATCATTTCCACTATCGTTTTCCATCCCAACTGCAGATGTTTGCCCATCTGTAAGCTGCATGCACTGCGTGCCACGGCTCGGTTGCCAGGCGACGGAGAGAGCCGGCTGGAGCTGTGGCAGCTGGGCGCCACACAGGTCCGAGGGGTAGGGCTCTGCGTGCGCCGCTTTCTCCCGTGGAGTTTGAAAGCCATAAGAAGCTGTGGGAAACTCATGGCAAACCCATGGGAAACCCACGGGAAACCTATGGCCAACCCATGGGAAACCCATGGAAAACCCATGAGAAACCCAAAAAGAAACACTAAGGCCCACCAAATGGTCCCTTTAGATGGGTAGCCTTGAGTTTGCCATCATCAATGGCCGGTAATGTTGAGTTGAAGCGTCTCTAGCGACAGTGCTAACCGCATGTTGTTACGATCCTTTGCAAACTCACCGGGCGCAATCATTTGAACGCGATGTGCGCAGAGCCATGGAGTCAGAAGGAGTCTGTGTCATGTCGGTGCGTGCCAGTGTCGAGCTGATCTCGTCACTTTGGCCATGAGTTTAGCTGCGGCCCAGTTTTTGGCGATGAATACCTGAGTTTGTCTCCAAATGGATTTGCGTGACTAAAACAACCCCAACGAAGAGCTTCCGGAAAGCTGAATCTCAGTTGCCGCATGCCCACCTGGTGTTGGTCTACCTGATGGTCAAGGATCCGGTCCTACCATCTGGGAATCGGCGGTTCCCAGAGACTTCGAGAGTTGAGCTTAGAGGGATGGACATGTCCCAGAAGCTTGATTTGTTTGATCTTTCGGCAAATGTCACTTACATTATAATTATGTTTCAGTAGTTCTTCTTTATTCTTCCTCATTGCATTCAGGTTTGTTTGGCTCAGTTCCTACTCTTGGGCTGAGTTTGCCACTCTTGTGCTTGCTTTTATTTATTATTTTTTTTATGTGCGAGTGTCACGCAGCGTTTTTAACTGCTCCATAATTCCCCATTTCGAAGTATTTGGACGTGCAAGTTGCATTTGTGGATTTGACTTTATCTAGTTCCATCCCGTAAAAGTTGATTTCCGACCCAACTGGCCAGTAAAATGGACAGGTCAATACACCCAGCCGATTTCCAACCTGACAATACCCCTGATTAATTTGGGGGGGATGTGTACCAATAGGTTTCGCGCCGTAAGTGTTTGGAAGTTTGTGTAGGTCAATGTTGGGTTTGTAACTGCGGAATGCAGAAGCCGAGTTGCATGTTTTCCGCTTGACCACTAACATGACTTGCAGCGGATTGGGGTGCGCCCCTTGGCCCCCCACCGCTTTTTGAAGCACTCTCTCCTTGTTTCGTGTAGGCAACTCGGGTGTATCCTACAATACCCCACCAGAACCCTGAGATGCTGTGGATGGACAGAATCCACTTCGCGCCAGCTGGGGTGGATGAAACCCGGTAAATAGTGACGTAAAGTCCATCCACAGCAGTTGGCACCCGTGTGCACAGTCTGTGCCAATCATGCAAGACTGCTTATGCATTGGCCGACTAAAACAATAGGCTTAGTTGCCCGAAAGCCACCTGTTTGACCTTTTGGTTTCCGGTTTGTTTGATGTTTAATGAAGGTACCAAAAGGTTAACCTAAAGTTAACCTGTGATTTTCAGGTCTTGTTTGCGGAGCATTTGGCTCCTTGAATGGGGGCTTTAGGGGTCTTTCACCTATTAAACTTTTTCGGGCCTCAGGGGCTTCTCCTTGGCGTATCCTTTTCCGTGAACACCCCCCCCATCTTCAGATCCTAAAGAAACGTGTTGTCCATGGGGTTTTCCTTTAGACAACCCCAAAAGGAGGTCCCTCAACCAAAAACAGACTTAACATTTCGCTTTTCCCGAGACTTCCAGTGGGTTGCTTCCTTTCTCAACCTGTTTTGGAGGGGGTTGGGGGGTTTCCATTTGAATCGAACTTGTTAACGAATGGAAATCCACTGGGCTTGTGAGGCCACGCGGTTTCCTGATTTTTTTTTGGGTGTTGGGGGCGCACCTGCCAGGCACCCTCCTGGTGGGTCTCGCTGGAAGGCTCGCCTCGGGCTTGACTTTTGAGTGAGCAAGAAGGGAGGGTTCTTCGGATGGGTAGGGTGGTTAGTTGCTTGCTTGCTTGGTTGCCATGGTTGCCATGTTTGCTTGCTTGCTTGCCCTGCCCCCTGCCCCCTGCCCCCTGCCCCCTGCCCCCTGCCCCCTGCCCCCTGCCCCCTGCCCCCTGCCCCCTGTGCCGCCCCTGCCCCCCCTGCCCCCTGCCCCCTGCCCCTTGCTTGCTGCCCCCTGCCCCCTGCCTCCTGCCGCCTGCCCCCTGCCCCCTGCCCCCTGCCCTGCCCCCTGCCCTGCCCCCTGCCCTGCCCCCTGCCCTGCCCTGCCGTTTCCGTTGCCGTTGCCGTTGCCGTTGCCGTTGCCTTGCCTTGCCTTTGCTTTGCCTTGCCTTGCCTTGCCTTGCCTTGCCTTGCCTTGCCTTGCCTTGCTTTGCTTTGCTTTGCTTTGCTTTGCCTTGCCTTGCTTTGCTTTGCTTGCTTGCTTGCTTGCTTGCTTTCTTTCTTTGCTTGCTTGCCTTGCCGTGCCCTGCCCTGCCCTGCCCTGCCCTGCCCTGCCCTGCTCTGCCCTGCCCTGCCCTGCCCTGCCCTGCCCTGCCCTGCCCTGCTTTGCCTTGCCTTGCCTTGCCTTGCCTTGCCTTGCCTTTGCTTTGCTTTGCTTTGCTTTGCTTTGCTTTGCTTTTCTTTGCCTGCTTTGCTTGCTTGCTTGCTTGCTTGCTTGCTTGCTTGCTTGCTTGCTTGCTTGCTTGCTTGCTTGCTTGCTTGCTTGCTTGCTTGCTTGCTTGCTTGCTTGCTTGCTTGCTTGCTTGCTTGCTTGCTTGCTTGCTTGCTTGCTTGCTTGCTTGCTTGCTTGCTTGCTTGCTTGCTTGCTTGCTTGCTTGCTTGCTTGCTTGCTTGCTTGCTTGCTTGCTTGCTTGCTTGCTTGCTTGCTTGCTTGCTTGCTTGCTTGCTTGCTTGCTTGCTTGCTTGCTTGCTTGCTTGCTTGCTTGCTTTGCTTGCTTGCTTGCTTGCTTGCTTGCTTGCTTGCTTGCTTGCTTGCTTGCTTGCTTGCTTGCTTTGCTTGCTTGCTTGCTTGCTTGCTTGCTTGCTTGCTTGCTTGCTTGCTTGCTTGCTTGCTTGCTTGCTTGCTTGCTTGCTTGCTTGCTTGCTTGCTTGCTTGCTTGCTTGCTTGCTTGCTTGCTTGCTTGCTTGCTTGCTTGCTTGCTTGCTTGCTTGCTTGCTTGCTTGCTTGCTTGCTTGCTTGCTTGCTTGCTTGCTTGCTTGCTTGCTTGCTTGCTTGCTTGCTTGCTTGCTTGCTTGCTTGCTTGCTTGCTTGCTTGCTTGCTTGCTTGCTTGCTTGCTTGCTTGCTTGCTTGCTTGCTTGCTTGCTTGCTTGCTTGCTTGCTTGCTTGCTTGCTTGCTTGCTTGCTTGCTTGCTTGCTTGCTTGCTTGCTTGCTTGCTTGCTTGCTTGCTTGCTTGCTTGCTTGCTTGCTTGCTTGCTTGCTTGCTTGCTTGCTTGCTTGCTTGCTTGCTTGCTTGCTTGCTTGCTTTGCTTGCTTTGCTTTGCTTGCTTGCTTGCTGCTTGCTTGCTTGCTTGCTTGCTTGCTTGCTTGCTTGCTTGCTTGCTTGCTTGCTTGCTTGCTTGCTTGCTTGCTTGCTTGCTTGCTTGCTTGCTTGCTTGCTTGCTTGCTTGCTTGCTTGCTTGCTTGCTTGCTTTTGCTTGCTTGCTTGCTTGCTTGCTTGCTTGCTTGCTTGCTTGCTTGCTTGCTTGCTTGCTTGCTTGCTTGCTTGCTTTGCTTGCTTGCTTGCTTGCTTGCTTGCTTGCTTGCTTGCTTTCTTGCTTTCTTTGCTTGCTTGCTTTGCTTGCTTGCTTGCTTGCTTGCTTGCTTGCTTGCTTGCTTGCTTGCTTGCTTGCTTGCTTGCTTGCTTGCTTGCTTGCTTGCTTGCTTTGCTTGCTTTGCTTGCTTTGCTTGCTTTGCTTGCTTTGCTTGCTTTCTTGCTTGCTTTCTCTGCTTGCTTTTCTTGGTTTGCTTTTGCTTGCTTTGCTTGCTTTGTTTGCTTTGCTTGCTTTTTGGTTGCTCACTTGTCAGTTATTTCGTGGTTGGCGAAATGTGGTTGAGTGGGGTCGGGAATTGTGAATTTCAAGGGGATCGCTCTCCGGGTGCTATGATGAGACCCATTTGTCTTGATTCTCCTGAATTGAACCTGAAAAGGAAGAGGATACTTGTGATATGTCCAGAGCCCCCTGAGTTTTGCTGGTTGCTATCCAACGCAGAATTCTTCAATCTTCCCAAAAGAGCCAAAAGCCAGAGAGTAATCCTTTTCCCGACCACCCTGCCATTCAACCCCGTCCGAAAAAGCATCGCACCTGGGCCAGGCGCGCATGTCTTCAGCAGCCACGAGTGGCCCCGGAACCCAATTTCTAGAGAGAGAAGGAGAGAGCGAGAGCGAGAGAGAAAGAGAGTAAGACAGATCCCCCTTCGCCAACTGACTTCCTGAATCGGGAAAGCCACTTTAGGAAACTGAAGAGTTTCCGGGCCTAGGTCTCCAAGCCATTTCAGTGGCAAAAAACATGGCTGAACCACCAACTTTGCAAGTTTCAGGACCTGGTACTCTGCCCTGAATCTTCATTTGGGTTTGTTTCAATTGGTGGCTCCCCCAACAAAAAAGGTGTTTGTTTGCGTGTTGATCTTCCTTCAAAGGAGCCCAACAAAAAGTCGGCTCCAAGAGCGAGACCTGCCCAGAACCTTCCAGCAAACAAAGCACCCCAAACCCAGTATTGGGTTGGGGAGAGACTTCTGAGGCACCCTACCAGCCCACAAAACCCGCCCGAAGGCTACCCAAAGATCCCACCAACTTCCCAGCCCAAACCTTGACCGAGGCCTGATGACTCGGAGCTGATGCTGGAAGGCGTGCAAACAAACAACCATGTTTTGGGTGACTGCAACCTCGCATCATGGTGGTGTTTCTTTCTTTCGCCATTGCAAGAATGTGGGCATGTCAATGCTTTTGTTGCCACTGTTATGGTCATAACTCATAACAGTGCATTTTTGCTCATGCTTTTGTTGGCATTGCATGTTTGCAACATGGCATTTGGTTCCAGTTGGTTCTCCACTCGGCCAGTAGGGTCTATCAGAGTTACGGTCCTCGTTTAGCATGGTGTCCTTTAATCGGCAGAAGCAGTATGTGGCAATGCCAAGCAGACGCTCAGGCCGGCGGAGCGTTTGGTTGATACTGTGCTTCAGTCAAATGGCGCTTGTTTCATACGATACACTGCGCGTGCACTAGCGCCAACGCTAAGCAGATCGCAAACATCGATTTTCAATATGGCCTCGCTTTGGTTTGGGAGGCTCTACTGGCTTGTCGATGCGATGCGTGCCATCCCAGCTCTTCTCATGTTTGCAAAACATATTTGCCGACTCAGGACGCTGGAGCTGGCTGCGCATGTCACTTTGCTTTTGCTCGTGCTTTGCTTGCTTTCTCCCAAACGAGGCCAGATGCTTGGAGCTCACGGGTATGCCTTTCCTTTGTTTTTTCATGTTTCAAGTCCTTCCGTGTTAGTATTGTGCTTCGTTCACTTATGACATCCTGCAGAGGCCAAGAGGCCCGAGAAACCCTTAGGCCCTAGTCCTCAACCTACTCCCCCTGCATTCATTCTTCTTCCTCTTCGTCTTTTTGCCGCCTTGCTTCCATCTCCCTTTCTCCCTTCGCGCGTCTCTCCCTTTTTCCCTCCTTGCCTTTCTTCCTCTCTTCCTTGTTCTTTGTGTCTCGTCCGTTGCTTCCTGCCTTTCAGTGGATGCCCAAACTCGGTTTGCTTGCAACTTCGATGCATCTATCGTAGTACCTTCTCGTGAGGTACTTTGACCCCTTTCTGCTCTCAACTGCCATCCAAGACTGCTTGAACCAAATGGGTTTAGTGCCTCTCCTCCTTTCTTGGGCAACCCCGTAAATTAGGATTCTAATTTCCCCCAACAGCTGAAAGCTTTGGGTCTTTGCTCAGGGAAGCTTCGGAGTGGTTCGGAGCGGCTCCAGGCCAGGGTTCTTGAAGGGTTCCGGGGTTGCTGTTGGGATAGCACCTGAGCTTATTTGCTAACTTGAAGCCTCTTTTCTTTCTGGCATCCATCGTTCCTCTTGTCTGCCATTTGCTCAAGTAGATTTGTTATGTTGCCCCTCTTGGTTTTAACAGGAATCTATCACCACTAGACGTTTCGCCTTTTTTTTCCAGTGGACTGAAACAAATGGGAGTCTCCATTTTCCGCACAGGCGAGCTTGCGGTTCTCACCAGCCGCGGCGATGACTTCAGCCAGCTGCTGGACATCAGGCGCCTCAAACCCGGGGTGGATGAAGGTTATTGAAGGTTAGTAAGGGAGAATCCCATCCATAATTTGTTGCCTTCGCCGCCTTTGCCGCCTTTTTTTTAATTCTTTACATGGTTCTGGGCAGACTGTTTGAATTCCAGGTGTTGATTGTGACTCAACTGTTTAAGCCGCGCAGAAAAGGACACGTGAGTAATTAGGTGTCGAACATACAGGGTCCCCATGTTTTTTGCCCTGCTTCCCAGTAGGCAATGGGCTTCAATGGTTTTGGGAATGAACCAACAAGTTCGCTTGAGGGAAACCACAGAAGAGGGTTGGTTAAGCATTGTCAGACTTAGCCTACCATTTTACTGTTTGCCCTTTTGGTTTTCCTTCATTTGCCCTTACCAAGCACTTAAAGGGGGAAGTCTGGCCAAAAAACCAACATGTGTTTAACTGTTTCTTTAGGCTCCCCCTTCTGGCTCCAAACCCCCAGACAACGGCGAAGAAGTAGTCGGAGCGTCCAGCTTCAAAGAGGGCTTGCGCCTAGTGAGCGACCTGTTGGTCGGGGTTTCTGGGGTTCCCTGAATGTTTTGAGAAACCCCTAACATGGAGGGTCTCTAATATCCCCTGCTGTTGGTTCTTGTTTGGGACCCACGGGTCACAGTGCATCCTTTAAGGGGGAAATGCAGTGACCCCTGATTCACCCAACCAATAGATATTCATCCATGTACAATTAAATCCCAATGGTGTTTCATTTGTTTGCCCCAAAAAGTTTCGGCATTTCCTGTCTGAAAAAAGGAGGAGCTCTACTGCTAAATGATTAGAACTAAGCTGAAACCAGTTGTCAACCTATCAACTGATGCCCCAAAGGACACCTATGGCGGTTGGATGCTTTGGATACATTTGGGCCAGTCAGAAACTCACCCAACCAGCTGATCTAATTTGTAAAGGATCGCCTTCTTAAGCCGGTGGCTTTTGGATGTACGCGCTCAGGAACCCTGAAAATGGATGTTCGTCGTTTTGCCCTATGGCACTATGGACAATCACCCAGGAAGCCGGGGCGGAGCCTTTCGCGAATGGAGTTCAATCGCTCCCAGAACGAAGTAAACAATAATAGAACGTCCTACATTTTGAGCCAGACACATACAACTCCAATCTGATGCACTGTTCTGAGTGTCAAACTCGTGACTCTCTGGCATGCCGCAAACTGGAACCAAATTTTTTTTAAAAAAAAAAAAGCAAATGGGAGGGCTTCCTATTTCAACACATTCCCATGGCTAGGAAGGAGTTGTCATTGAGAGTCTTGCTGCCAAAACCAGGCCTGCGTGGAATGGATCCCAAATGGGTCCCTCGTGATGACACACTGCCAGGACAAATGTTGCAAAAGTTAAAGTAGGTGATCAGTGACCGTCCCACGCTTGCCATTCTAAACGGAGCTGGAAATTCGATCCGCTGGTGATCCAACCGGCTTTGCAGAGACAAGTAAGAGGTTGTCTGTGTGTGTGTGTGAAGACGAACGAGCTTGGGATTGGGGCAAATGGTCGCTGAATCACCAAGGCGGCATGCTACAATAAATCCCCAATGGGGCTCATTCGCTGTGACACAATTTCTAGCCTTACCAGCTGATTGTGTTGGTTCTTCGGATTTGCTGGAAGCGGCTTAAAGTGGCTGTTGGAAGGTCCAGTGTCACATGGAGGTTACATCGGTGAACTGCTGCAAATCGTTGCTTCGCTGGTCAATCGTACTGCGTGGTTGGCACCAACCAGAAGATGTGTGTGTGTGTGTGTCCAAAAGTGTGTCCCTTTGGTTTCCTTTTACCATCCAATTCTAGACCTAGGTGCTACATGACCCATATGTTGTCACTTTTCCGAAAAGAAACAACAAGGGGATGGGTGATCTTTTGTCTTTTCCAGACCCATCCCTTTTTTTAGCTTCACAGACCATCCCAGACCAATATGGCGAGACACACCCATTTATCCTCTGCCTAGTCTACGTACTGAAGGGGCTTCACCCGTCGTAGGCCGGACATCCCAGTGGTGCACTCAGTTGCCGGGGATTTGCACCATGGTTCCCGGCGAGCTGCCCGGTGCTTTCAAAGAGCAGATTCCATTCTTGGGGGGTTCCTGAAATCGCGTTCCCTCGAAAAGGGATGGCGTTGCGGGTTCCATGTTGGTCTGCAGGAGCGAGGGCTTTTTTTTCTCCGGCGTGTGCTTTTTTTGGAGGGTGTTAAAGGAAAGAGATGGAACTAATGTCCGCAGCCCTGGCTTGGCTTCTGAAAGGACAACTGCCCACATGTTTCGGCCAGCCTTTTAAACTTTTTCAGACAATGGCCGGAGGTCTGAAAGAAGCAGGCAGCGTCCTTTCTTTTGTTGATTTGACTTGAACCCCTCCAACAAAAACTTGTTTGTTTTAACCTCCTTTTTAGGGACACCCCTTTTGGGTTCCCTCACATTTGCAGGGGAGTGAAGCCTGCGCATGATGCAACTGGTGAATTCCAAGCTGAGAGCTCAACTCGGTGATTCTCATGTTCAGGGCGTCAAACTGAAATGGGTGTGGCTCAAGAATCAAGAGCTAGGGGTACGCAGGTGTTGGTCTTTGTTTCCATTTAGGGGTCATTTTGGGTACCTGTTTTTGAGCCACAGCCAAATCAACCCGTTTGGAAGAATCCCATTTGGAGGCCCCGGCGAACGGGAAACTATCGAACCCCGTCGGACCGTCGCCATTTTTTTCTACCAGAAGGATGTTTATAGATCAGTTGTTTGGAGCTGCTGGGAGCAGCCTTTCGATGATAGGTGCGTGCCACGGCGGCTTGGGAGTTGGCACGGGCTGTTTTCCTTTTTTCTACAAAGCCAAAATGGGAGTCCTTCAAAGAAGATTTCCTCCACACATGATGGGTTTGTGGTTTCCATGTTCATTTTTTGGGATGTCCTGGTCTTGCACCCTGTCTTCAGATGGCACGGATTTGAACTAGAGACCAATCGGAAATGTAGATCCATCGGCAGTTGTCCTCTTGCTTCGGTGTGTTCCTTGGGTGCTTTTCTCACCGCTCATCTGGATCAAGTGGTTCCTTTGCTTGTGTGGGAGCTGCCTCCAACAATAATTTTACTTTCACTGATGGTCTTTCGGGGGTGCCATACTGTGGATGGACGAAATCCATTTCGCACCACCGTTCAGAACCCCTGAAATGGTATGATTCCCCTGCAAATAGCAACAAACAATACTGGATTCAACCATGGTTTCATTTCGTGGTGCCAAACGTTCTGGTTTCCCATCCATGGTTTCATTTCGGAATTTCGTGGTGCGAACGGATTTCCCAACCATCCGCAGAAAACCAATGTGACGCCTCGGTCGAGGGATGAGATGTCTCTCTCAGGTGGAGCTTCAGAGGCTCGAAGGATACTCCTTGCTGATGAGGCGAGGGGCGTGCACGTTAAACACCAGCGCCAGGGTTCAATTTGGCTATGAGGTTTATTGGGGAACCATCTCACAAAGTGGTTCGTCGGCATCAATCCCCAAATGATGGCCACCAAAGGGTCCCCCACAACAACTTACCCCCGTTTTGACGGATCTCACGTGATAGGATTGCAAGCCTCCGGGTCACTTTTAGGTTTCCAGCCTATGGTCAGCACGGCCTCCAAAGTCACACACGCATGCTCCATGGCCGGTGATTCAATGTACATTGCTTCCCATTCAAACACGGGCCCATCGTTTTGAAACAGTGCCGGCAGCTTTGGGCAATTTTGAGCGGTGGATGCTTTCGTAGCAGCCGAACGGGTGCCCAGTCGCCCGGTGTGCCTGTAGCAAGACTCTCAGTGAGAGCCCCGAAGTAATTTCTCCGGATGAGTCTGAACTCACGAATGATAAGTTGCGCCCCTCAGGTTTTCCATTGTCCTGATTCACAGAAGTGTACCCTTGGCTCCAAGCTGGTTTAGTTCCACTACTCCCAAACCATTAGTTAGAATGCTGGCGGGGTTGCTAACATATAAAGGGGCTGTGACTTGTGGATCCTTCACGTTTGGGGAAACAACCCAATTGAGCCACCAGGGTCATTAATCCGGCCGTAATAACTTATAACTAACTACCCCTTGACTCGTGATTTAAGCTCAGTCAGTTTGCTGGCTTTCCACCCACTTGCGACGCAGCGTAGCTTAGCGGATGTGGCCGGAGCCTCCTTCAGATGAATTGAGATCGACGTTGTCTATTCCAATTTGTTGTTGGCAACAACAAGGGGTCGCCGGTTTTGAGGACGGTTGGATGATGTTTGGGAATGAAGCGACCTCCATATTTCCAGCAAAAAGGACAGCCCTGATTGAGATGTTGGTTTCCAAAAGAGAGTCCGTTTCCAATCTTCGATCTTCGCAGACGCAAATCATGGCAAAAGCGTCGCTCAGGCGACCCCGCCTTAGCACATGGAAGGCGCAGTTTTTTACGCAACCACATGATCGAACTCTGTGTAACAGTGTTTTCCTCAGACCTCGTGGCCGTTCCCAATAAAACAATAGGCAAGCCATCAGCGGGGTTTGTTTCAATACAGCTTCCCATCAGAAAGTGTAGCCCTCAAATACCAAAAACTACACATAGAATCTTCAAGCCGATATCCAAAAAGCGTTGAAACACAAAACTTAAACACCTGAGACCCTACACCTAGACCCTAAACCTAAACCCGAACAGGTTTGGGGGCGGATCGTGGCGATGTTGGGAATGTGTTGGGACGTGGGTGCGACTGCACAAATACAGAAGATTGCTTTCAGAATATGGGTCCTTGGCATTATTGATGTTTGATTTGTTGCGGTCAACGGCCACTTGGCTAGAGAAACGATCATACGGCATGTTGGGTCGATCCCCTCGAAGTCAGCTCTTCCAGGCATTTTCCAGAGCAGGGCCTGCTTCTGCAGGCAGGAGGCTGAGTTTGGCGTTCGTGCATGACGGCGTAGATGGTTGGAGTTTTGGGTGTTTGCTTGATATGGCCATGACGCTCAGTAAGAACTACCCTCAAAAGTGGTGAGTGGAAATAAGTCCCCTCCGAAATCATGAATTCCTACCTATATGGCTGTATAGGCAGCCCTCCTGCTCCTCCTGCTCCTCCTGCCTATACTGCACATTGCTCTACTGCTGATTACGTTCCTCCCACCAGTATGGCATCTGTGGAACAGGTGCCATGTTAGTTGGAGGAAGGGTAGGCTAAAAAACAGAATGGCCCCAGTCCCGTTAAACATCACCTCGCCAAAAGGAGCTCACTTTAAATTGGCCTGCGGTTTGCTGGTTGCGTCCGCTGAAATGACCTGTTCATTTGGTAGGGGCCCCTAGATTGGACGGAATTTGTGCCACGCTTTAAATTTTGCCCAAAGGGTGGCGTTTAAAACCACATCTCGGGAACCGTGACAGCCTTCCCCACAGCCCGCCTACGATTGACAGGTCACTGAGAACAGCCTCCTGGTGTACGGAGGCGAAGGTGCGAAGGGTAGATACGTTTCAAGGGTACCCCCCCAACAAAAAACACATAAATAAATACATGGTTGGCTTCCTTTTGGTTCCACATTGAGGCCAACCCAAAGTCATCCCCATACAACCTTATTCTAGCTATGAAGTGGCTATATGGGGGCACAGAAGCCGTCTTGTTATTTGGGAATGGTGCGGTAGTGGACATAGTAGTGGAAATGGTGCCCACGGTAGGCCTCCACTTTGGCTGAAGAACTGAAGGGTCCATTCCCTTGAAGGTGGCAAAGCTTCCATGGGAGTCACGCTTTGGTATCGCACAAGTGGTTGGTTGCTATGGGATAATATTTAGAAACCCGTCTCTATGTTTGAAGGATGGGGATGATCCCCATTAACGAGACTTGACAACTCGCCCTATCGACGAGTGCGTGTCCAGGGCAAGTTCGTTCTTAAAGTGGGTTGGTGTGTGGTGTGTCTATGTGTTTTTTTTTTGTTTGGACCCTAAAGAGGTTTTCGTTTTGGTTCCCCGTTAAACAAACCTTTTGAATGGCACCCTCAGCAAACACACCTGGGCGGACGGTCTTCCTGTCGCCTTTTCTTGAATGGCATCAACATGTGGACCAAAACACATCCGAAGTTGCTGCTGGGCAAGGACAAGGCACCTTCGCATGTCACATTCGGTCAAAAGTCTGGGAGGGACATGGAACTCATCAAGTGTGCCACAGCCCAGGAGACTCACTATTTGTTCCATATCCTTTGTGCCATGCCTAACATGTGCAGCCGTGCTGTCGAGATGAAACACAATCCAGGGTACATCTTGTGGCTTGGCTAGTCAGGCACAGTGCAAACCAGAAGGGATCTGCAGTTTTAGACCGTATCAACTTGGGTCAGGTGCCAGCACCTAGTGAACAAGGCGGCTGATGAAGGTGGCAATTCCGTGAGCTCAGCACCAAGCTGTTCATAGTTGGGTGTGCCTTTTACTTTGAGGGTACGGGTGTTAACGAAACCCAACAGAACAATATCCATTTTGTGAGATCGCGCTGTTCTCAGACAAACCTGGCCCTCCTTTTTTGGCATTTGATTTCATTCGAAATGTCCCTTCCTCTGTGCCAGAGTCTTCAAGTTGCTCGCACGCAAGTTCAGCTGCGATACACAATTGGCAGATTGGGCGAATGGCACAAATGTTCGTAGCCCAGCCCAACTTCATAGGCTGAAAAGCATTCATCAATGTGCAAAAGCTGCTTACTTTGTTGGGTCACAGCACACCTAAAAAGAGGAACCTTCTCTTAATATTTAAACTCTGGTGAGTTCTTACTTCTGGTTTTGGAATCATGCAGATACGAAAGTACTGTTTGCAATTTGTTGTCAAAGGTACGCATGAAGAGGGCTACCTTGTTTCTCTCCTGGACCTATTATGGGATGTCTATTGAGGTGATTGTACATCTCAAGGTTCACTAAATATGGACCGTTGCGTTTTTTTGTTGAGATCGGGTTTAGTCAGGCTGTTAGTGCCCTACGCTCACGTCTGTGCCAGGGTCCTGGGAACTGCTCCTCTGCTGCAAAGAGCCATTCATCGCTGGCGGCAGCAGCATCAAAGGTCCTTTACATGGGATGACCACCAAAAAGATGATATGTCCCACTAAATTGGGAAAGTTGCCCATGGTTATTTGGGGGCCCTTTTCTTGAATATTGATCAACCCCCATATGGAACAGGTTGATCCCCTGTAGCCCCTTTGAAATTGGCCCCTCTTTCAGGATCCGAGGGAAGTAGTTGGAGCTTGCAGCTTTGCCGTTTTCTCGAGGTATGGAGGCAGCCAAGGATACCTCACGCTTCTTGTTTTGCGCGTGTGTTTCTTTTGTGTAAGAAGGCATATGGCAATAGAAGACAGGTTGAAAAACATAAGAAATTGTTTTGCTGCTGCTCCGCATCTTGTTGCTCATTGCTCGTGTCACTCAATCAACGCTGAGGCTTTCTGGCCGAACCATGAATAAGGCACGCTCATGTTTTCCAAGTTCAGCACAGAATGCAGTTCACTCATGGACTTCAACCTAAGTCTTCGGCGTGTCTTCCTGTTCAGCCAGAAGGAGAGCCTCACCTGGGGGTGGCCTTCCCTACTGTGCCCAGAGGTCATCGTCCCAAATGTCAGCCGTCAGGCCTATTCTTGGTCCGATGGTCCCATGTCGCTGAGAAATGGACAGTTCCAGATTTCTTTGCTCAATTTGGCTCAGTCTGTGCTTACATAGGTTGGAGGATACCCTTCCCCGCCCTTGCCCAAGTTGGCAAACGATGATAATTTTGGTGGTAGGTTTCTTCATAGACTTTCTTCATCAAGCTTGCTGTTGGCAAGGCCCAAAATGTCCGAAACCATTCCTGGAACACGGCCCATGCCTGAGGCTGCACCGGCAGAGATTGGATCCCTTCTGCAACCACGCCGCGGCTTGCAAAGGCCCCTCGCTCGGATGGGACATTATAGGTCTCAAAAGCGAGCGAAGTCCCAAAACGAGGGATTTCCTTTCCGGTATTCCCTGGAACAAAGCGAAACAGGAAACGGCCTTCCGGGAAAACACACCCATGCAACGGCTGCACAAAGGTTGAGTTAACAGCTTCGTTGCTCACCAAGGTGAAGCTCGATGTTTCTAGCTCGATGTTTTGCTGGCCCCGGCAAGCGGTGCCATCAGACCTGACCATTAGGGTGAAAGAAATGCTGGCCAAAGGAGTCATGTTGGATTTGCTCCGTCAAAAACAATAATGCCGAGTTGGAGGCTCCTTCGGCCCTTTTGGCCACTCGCATCCAGCAAGCTGTTCTGTTGCCGCAGTGGGTTGTTCAAAGGCCACTCTTTTCGCCGAATAGCACCACAATTGAAAGCACTGCGCATGTTTCGCCACCCGAAAAAGCAAGACTTGGGCTGTGCGTTTCAGGGCAACCAGTAGCAGCCATCGGGGCCTTATTTCATTGGTTGCATCAATGGAGGGTTCACCTTGGGACCACCATGGGAGACAACCCCAAAGGTGTTGAGTCCTGAGTGGTAGATAGTTCGAGAAGTCTTAATTTCCTCACCCCTAGTTCATGTATACTGTAGGGAGGGGCTCCACATCAAAGAAGGGTGCCCCCTTTTATACGAAGTGGAACGAGCTGTGAGAGATGATTCGCTGCAGTTGGAAGTCAGTTCTTCAGTGTCACCTTATTTCCCCCAACAAAGGTCAAAAGATCAACCCAGAAAGGCTTTCCTTTGCGGGATCACAAAGGATTACTCGACCTGTTTGTTCAAGCTGCTTGTTTGCGGTGGATTCCAGGCAAACCTTCTGAAATTGGACATGAAGAAAGACAATGCACTAAACAGAAGCAGCTCCTCAGTATCAGAAATAGTTTTCAGACTCCCATGGTCCATGGCCATTGCCCTGGGGAAGGGGGACGAAGGAGCCCTTATCGCAAGCCCGGCCAGAATTTATTGGGGTCGACCAAGTCTTGCATTTTGGGGCAATGTCTGCGCGGAAGCGTGGTGTGGCCGTTTGAGACTCTGGCTCAGGTCAAGCCTTCACGGCGTGCGGGGCCGTGCTCTCCCGCTATGAGGCGGACTGGAAAAGTCCCAGGGAAATGCCCGACGACAGGTTCACTGGATTTCCTCTTCCAGCATGATGGTGTTTGAGGAGCTCACGGGTAAAACAAGCTGGGATCCTGGCTTGTTTTCAGTTTGGGATTCATGCTCAATTTGCCCAGATGTTGTAAATTGAAGTCAGCCGAGTCCTGAAAGGCACCGTGGCTGGTGTTGGTTTTGTGGATTGGCAAGAAAGCTGGGGCCAAGGTTTGGCACAAACAAATGACAAAACAACCAAGCAAGCAAGCAACAAAGCAAGCAACAAACGAGCGAATTATCGAACGGACAAACTCTTCTAGGATATCCTTTGCCCAACGGCAAGGGATGGTTTTCCAACAAACAATTTATTTCGGCTGCCATCAGGAACGAGCAAAGCAGGATCACCACCCGAGTCCCAGCTGGGCAATGTTGCCGAGGCAGATGTTTGAATCTTTCACATATGTTGACCAGCCCCTGGCTCGTCAATATCCTCGGTTCATGGTCGGGGGTTCTGGGCTGAGCCTTCAGATTAAACCCAATGGGCGGTATCCATCAAAGCTCCAGGGTCTCGAGGGAGTTTCAGCCGTTGCACAGCCCCAGAGTTTCAGCTGTGTTTTCCTCTCGAACACATGGGTCCTGGTTTGGAAAGGGACTGCAAAGTTTCTTGGCAAAACATGAAAACGTAGCCTCGGTAGAGGGGAGCGCAACCGACTTCCCGAGGATCCCTTTCTGGCCGCCGGTGCATGACTGGTTCATTAGTTCGCAGGTCTCGACAGCGCGGACATCAAGACCCCTTTGGGGTAGTTTCATTTAGTGTCCTTGGGGCGCATACAAAGGAACTCCAAGGGAGAATCACCCGGTTGGTGGGTCCCGTATGTGGAAGACATGTTATATATTTAAGGGCTGCCGCCCTGTGCCGCCGACAGCTGTCAGCGCACAAATCGGCTGGCTTGTTGGGCCTAGGAAAGGGAAGTTCGGGGAACAGCCCCAATCAATGGGTGCAGCTGCCCTTTTGATTTTTACTTGCATGTTTTAACCTGGTCTTGATTGTGACTCAGCCGGCCGTATGATGATGAGAAGGATGATGATGATGATGATGACGATGATGCAGCCCAAAACAAAGTCTCCCACACCTCAAATAAAAACATATTAATTTGAGGTGCTCTCCCTGACAAAAAGCTCGCCAGGAAAAAGAGACAAGGATGCCACTCCCACACCTCAAACTACAAAACATATTAATTTGAGGTGCTTTCCCTGACAAAAAGCTCGCTAGAAAAGAGACACAAGTCATGATTATGATGACAATGATGCAGCCCAAAACAAAGTCTCCCACACCTCAAATTAAAAAAAAAAATAATAATTTGAGGTGCTCTCCCTGACAAAAAGCTCTCTTGGAAAAAGAGACAAGGATGCCACTCCCACACCTCAAATTAAACAATATTAATTTGAGGTGCTTTCCTTGACAAAAAGCTCGCTAGAAAAGAGACACAAGGATGCCACTGAACAATTGGGCAATGGATGACTGTCATGATAATTATCATCGCAGCATCCTCTGCATCACCAATGCTGCCTGATAAGAGATGACAACGACCATGATGATAATGGCACGGGCGTGATGATCGTTATCATCTGCGTCATGAGAAGTATCGTCACAACATCCTCATCATCTCGACTTGTTCCTTGATAACTATCATCATCGCATCCTTTGCATTGCCAAGGATGTCTACCGTCCCTTTTGATGTATAGATTTAGTATAGTAAGATATTAGATGATGCTAGTTGATGATCAGATGATGAAAAAGATGATGACAAGGATGATATCTATCATCGTAGCATCCTTGGCATCACTAACGGCTGTCATGATAACGATCATCGTAGCATCCTCTGCATCACCAATGCTGCCTGATAAGAGATGACGACGACCATGATGATAATGGCATGGGATCTATAATCAGATATTACATGATGCTAGGTGATGATCAGATGATGATAAAGATGATGACAAGGATGATAACTATCATCGTAGCATCCTTAGCATCACTAACGGCTGTGATGATATCTATCATCGCAGCATCCTCTGCATCACCAATGCTGCGTGATAAGAGATGACGACGACCATGATGATAATGGCACGGGCGTGATGATCGTTATCATCCGCGTCATGACAACTATCATCACAACACCCTCTGCATCTCTACTGGTTCCTGGATAACTATCATCATCGCATCCTTTGCATTTCCAAGGATGTCTAACGTCCCTTTTGATTTCTACATATTTTGTGATATTAGATCATGCTAGGTGATGATCAGATGATGATAACTATCATCGTAGCATCCTTAGCATCACTAACGGCTGTGATGATAATTATCATCGCAGCATCCTCTGCATCACCAATGCTGCGTGATAAGAGATGACGACGACCATGATGATAATGGCACGGGCGTGATGATCGTTATCATCCGCGCCATGACAACTATCATCACAACACCCTCTGCATGTCTACTGGTTCCTGGATAACTATCATCATCGCATCCTTTGCATTGCCAAGGATGTCTAACGTCCCTTTTGATGTATATATTTAGTATAGTAAGATATTAGATGATGCTAGGTGATGATCAGATGATGAAAAAGATGATGACAAGGATGATATCTATCATCGTAGCATCCTTGGCATCACTAACGGCTGTCAAGATAACGATCATCGTAGCATCCTCTGCATCACCAATGCTGCCTGCCTGATAAGAGATGACGACGACCATGATGATAATGGCACGGGCGTGATGGTCGTTATTACCCGCGGATAATTATCATCGTAGCATCCTTGGCATCACTAACGGCTGTGATGATAACTATCATCGTAGCATCCTTAGCATCACTAACGGCTGTGATGATAACTATCATCGCAGCACCCTCTGCATCACCAATGCTGCGTGATAAGAGATGACGACGACCATGATGATAATGGCACGGGCGTGATGATCGTTATCATCCGCGTCATGACAACTATCATCACAACACCCTCTCTTTATTTTTTCTTATCCTTATCATCATTATCATCATGGTCGTCGTCATCTCTTATCAGGCAGCATTGGTGATGCAGAGGATGCTACGATGGTAGTTATCATCACAGCCGTTAGTGATGCCAAGGATGCTACGATGATAATTATCCGCGGGTAATAACGACCATCACGCCCGTGCCATTATCATCATGGTCGTCGTCATCTCTTATCACGCAGCATTGGTGATGCAGAGGATGCTGCGATGATAGTTTTCATCACAGCCGTTAGTGATGCTAAGGATGCTACGATGATAGTTATCATCCTCGTCATCATCTTTATCATCATCTGATCATCACCTAGCATCATCTAATATCTTACTATACTAAATATATACATCAGAAGGGACGTTAGACATCCTTGGCAATGCAAAGGATGCGATGAAGATAGTTATCCAGGAACCAGTAGACATGCAGAGGGTGTTGTGATGATAGTTGTCATGACGCGGACGATAACGATCATCACGCCCGCGCCATTATCATCAGGGTCGTCGTCATCTGTTATCAGGCCATCTCTTATCAGGCAGCATTGGCGCAGAGGATGCTACGATGATCGTTATCATGACAGCCGTTCGTGATGCCAAGGATGCTACGATGAAAGTTATCACCCTTGTCATCATCTTTATCATCATCTGATCATCACCTAGCATCATCTAATATTTTATTATATATAGAAATCTAAAGGGACGTTAGACATCCTTGGCAATGCAAAGGATGCGATGATGATAGTTATCCAGGAACCAGTAGAGATGCAGAGGATGTTGTGATGATAGTTGTCATGACGCGGGTGATACCGTTCATCACGCGCGTGCCATTATCATCATGGTCGTCGTCGTGCCATTATCATCATGGTCGTCGTCATCTCTTATCACGCAGCATTGGTGATGCAGAGGATGCTGCGATGACAATTTTCATCACAGCCGTTAGTGATGCTAAGGATGCTACGATGATAGTTATCATCATCTGATCATCACCTAGCATCATCTAATATCACAAAATACATAGAAATCAAAAGTGACGTTAGACATCCTTGGGAATGCAAAGGATGCGATGATGATAGTTATCCAGGAACCAGTAGATGATGATAAGGATGATGATGATGACGATGACTGTGATATACCAATCATCGCAGCTGCTGATGCTGATGAGGATGAAACTTTGGTTATACTTATGCGCCAACCACCCTTCCCGTGCGCCCCCCTTTTTGGAGAAAGGGTCGGCGGATAAGATGAGGATTCCAGTTGACTCCTGGGCGCTTTGACCGTCTTCCACGAAGCACGGCCGCGGTACCGTATACCGACGAGCTCACCCATTCCGTGCAGGTGAGTCGGTCTGGCATCACGCGCAGTGAGACCAAGGTGTTGCAAGACCAGGCGCCCCCACGGCTGTCGGTGGATTGGGTCAGCTCATAGGAACCCAGTGGCTCATAGGAACCCAGTTGATTGGTGAGACCCTGGTTGATAGCAACAAACAGGGCTATTACCCATCGTGGAATGTTAGAGGCGTTCCGGATCACTTCTTCGGGAGCACTCCCCATATGAATCTGCCAGATGATCTTTGTTCGGGGTCAACATGATCATGACCATGCTATCCATGAGTTCAAGTTGGTTGTGCTTCGTAGACAGGGAGATCCGACGCTTGGACATTGGTCACAGATGTGCAATGGGAGGAACATGGACGGCATCCTATGATGTCGGTATGGGATGCACACAGCTACAGAGGGGCCTGTTCACACCGTCTGAGAGAATCTAGCTAAGGGCCGCGACCCAGCCTCCCCACACACGTCAAACATGTGCTGAACTACCTCTCTTGGGAGCAGACAGTAATCCATTCACCTTGTAAGACTGGGATTGGACCTTGGAAGCTTTGGCAAGCAAAAGTATGTCGCATTTCCCATCCTCACGCCGTTCTTTGAGGCTCGCGCCTCGGCCCAAAAGATATGAGCATGGACGGCACGCTATGTGCTCCGGTCCGTCTCTCCGGCAGCTAGGGGAGTCCAGGGACTTGCAAAAGGAACCAATTGGGCAAGGAGTTTATACCGTGGAAGTTTCGATCAGAAAGGAAAAGCTATTGCTTTGAAGCTTCATCTCTCTGCCTTTCTCTCGTAGTTTTTTCACTCTCTGTCTCTTCCTTTCTCTTCCTTTCTCTCTCTTTCTCTCTCTTTCTGGCTTTCTCTCTTTCTCTCTCTTTCTCTGTTTCTCTCTTTCTTTATTTCTTTGTCTCTTTCTCTCTTTCTCTCTTTATTTCTCTTTTCTCTCTTTCTCTGTTTCTCTCTTTCTCTCTTTCTCTCTGTTTCTCTTCCTCTCTTCCTCTCGTCCTCTCTTCCTCTCTTCTTCTTTTCCTCTTTCCCTCTTTTCCTCTCTTCCTCTCTCTGTCTCTCTTTCTCTTCTTCTTTTTCACTCTGTCTCTCCTCCTCTTTCTTTCTCTATGTCTCCCTTTTTCTCTCTTTCTCTCTGTCTCTCTTTTTCTCTTTATCTCTTTCTCTCTGTCTCTTTTGATCTCTTTCTATCTTTCTGCTTTTTTGGCATTGTTTGCCGTGCACGCTCTTTAACAGTCGTGTTGTTTCTGGAGCGGGGCAAGCTCTTTGCAGCGACTCGCTGGGTTTGTTTCTGGAGCAACGCTCCGAACCCACTCCAAAACCGCCTCCGTCAGGCGTCGCTGCTGAGGTAGTTTGCGCACATGCGGAGCAGCACAACTCACGCACAGGGCCACGTGTTCGGCCCGCGTCCATTCCCGAGTGCTCGCATTTGCCAGCTTTGTCCCAGCTTTTTCACGCACGCGGCTTCTATCTGTGAGATGACGCACGGCTGTATGCATTCTTAGAGAGAGCTAGCTCTTTAAGTTTCAGTATACGGAAGTTCTTGTTAAGCTCCTTTGATAGAATTATTCATTGAATCCTTCAAGGCCATAGCGCGGAACTATTCGCTACGTTTGCTGGAAAAAGTGGGAGATGCAAAGAAGCGGGGATCCCTCCAGTTTCATTCCTTATGATTTACCTGCATCCAGGGAACCAGGTAGAGGAAATTGAAAGAAAAAGCAGATTCTGCTGTTAACATGCAGCTGCTAAGCTTGCCTAGCGGACAAATGAACCCACATGCTGGAATGAAAAGCCCTTTGTTCTTTCGTTTCCGAAACTATATATATATATATATATGCTCACCCCCCCCCCCCCAGGGCCTACCTTTCCACTTCAAAATGTACAAAACCCTCTTATTTTTAAAGACAGGGGGTGTGAGCATATATACGCAAGAAGTGTGCTGTTGCTGCATATTTTTTTGTGGGTGACAAGTCATGTTGAGTAACAACAGCAAAGAGTTTATAAACTTACAAGACAGTTTATAAACCATGTCAAGGGTTTGACGGTTTCCCTGCAACAAGGGCAGGGGGGGGGTCAGGGGGGGGTACTGAGAAGTCTTTACAAAGTTGGCTGAGTCACACCTCACTGCTAAGACTTCCAACCAACCACCCCCCCCCCCCCTCCCCCCCAAGACTTCCAACCAACCCCCCCCCCTCCCCCCCAAGACTTCCAACCAACCCCCCCCCCCATCCTTCAACGATACCATGAACACTTCGTAGGGTGTTGTTGCCTTGACGCGGGAAACTCGTCAAACACTCAATAAGGTTTATAAACTTTCCTGAAAGTTTATAAACCTTCTGTAGGCTTATTGCGTAGCAAGTGGAGACTGTTGTTTGGGAAAAAAAGGACACTCATTTGAGGCCTTGTTTGATGTGGTTTGGGCATGTGGTCCTAAAAGGTTGATGATTGTGTGTGGGTGTGTCATCACTGCTGCACTGTTATATCAAAGGCTGTCCATTCGGTCCAAGGGAACACAATCTGAGCAACTGCTGCAAAACACTCTGTTTTACAGCATTTTGTTGGATCTCTAATCCCTTCAATCCATTTGAAACACCTGAAACCTAGAATCTGGAGATCAGAATCCTTGAGATGTCTAATGTTGGATTCTCCAAGCCTCATAATTTGGAGCCTGGAGTACTCCAACGCGAATTGAATTGGAATGTTGAAGGGGGCAAAATGTTGTTTGGGAAATGAACAATCTTCGGCCCAAGGGAACACAATCTGAGCAATTTCTTCAAAACACTTTGTTTTACAGTTTTTTGTTGGACCTGCAATCCCTTGAAATGTCCATGGTGAAGCACCTGAAACCTAGAATCTGGAGATCAGAATCCTCGAGATGTCTAGTGTTGGATTCTCCAAGCCTCATATTTTGGAGCTGGGAGTCCTCCAACATTTTTAAATATAGATTCCTTTCCAAATATACTGCGAATTGAATTGGAATGTTGAAGGGAAAACTGTTGTTTGGGGAAAACAATCTTCGGTCCAAGGGAACACAATCTGAGCAACTGCTGCAAAACACTGTGTTTTACAGCATTTTGTTGGATCTCTAATCCCTTGAAATGTCCAATTTGAAACACCTGAAACCTAGAATCTGGAGATCAGAATCCTTGAGATGTCTAATGTTGGATTCTCCAAGCCTCATAATTTGGAGCCTGGAGTCCAACATATCCAAGTACACATTCCTTTCCAAATACGATTTTGATCCGAATTGAATTTGCTTATTGAATAGAATTTAGTAAGCACATAGTTCACCACCATTCATAATTCACCATAATGTCTATATTAGATCAGAATTTGAACCGGAATACCTTTCCAAATAAGGAAAATATGATTGCAGTAGAATCCAAATATACTTTAATGCAGACAGAATTCAATTAGCTTTTGAACATAATAATTTAATCAAGAATCCATCCCCCAATACAGCTTGAATTGGAATATAGCTTATTCTGGAAAGAAATCACTTGGCCTTTGCAATCAAATTTTAATAGTAACTCATTCCCAAATATGATTTAGCTTAAATGTGGCTAAACAAATAAAGGGCACATATCCCCAGACTCCCAAACTTGGTCTGGAGATGTGTTTGGCATGTGCAGGTCTCAGAGCTTTCATTTTCAGGAGATTTTGTGCTTTTGGGTCTGTGCAGGTTGCAGAGCTCAAAGCTGCCAAAAACATCATTTTTTCAATGTTTTTCCCTGGTGTACTCAAAGCCACTGTAAAAACCAGTGATTCAATCAAAGCCAGGCTCGAATCTGAAAACGGAATCCGTTTTCGCTTTGCTGCCTTTCAAGCCTCAAATAATCAGACATTTGCTGTCACATAGAAGGTAAAAAAAACAACAAACACACTGTATTTTACAGTGTTTTCAGGCATCTGCAAGAAAGGGGCACACAGAGTAGAGTTGACACCTTCAACTAGAAGAGGGCAAAGGTAGGCCCTGGGGGGGGGGTGACCATATATATATATATAATACACGTGCAGGCCGAGCTGATGGTGGCAGTTGAGACACTCGTTTCGATGTCGCTTTCAGGTTGTTTGATATTCCCTTTAGATTCCTTGGAAAGCAGCCCCCGAGACGGGTACCGACTCAAATCCCTCCAGGTGTCCGCCCTGGCCATCACCTCGCTCGGGCCTCGTTGAGTGCCGAGCAGAAGGTGAGCAACAGGTTTATGGCTTAGGTAGGAATGGTCGGTCGACAGGTTGTTTTCCCTTTTTTTTTGCATTCCATACTTTTGACATACATACGTATAAACGAGAAGGCTCAATGGATCGGTTGGCATGCCTTTCTGTCGAGGTCTGAACCTCTTTGCGCGGGCCTATGGCTCTCCAAGGCCGCATGTCTCGCGAGGGGCAAGGACATAAAGCCGGAAGAAAGCCATGAAGGGCCATTTCTTGCGGCACGTTGTGGCTACAGTACCGGATTTTTTGAAAGGCACAGTAGCGATGAGTCAGCAATTCGGAGCGACCAGGTTGGACACATTAATGTGCATGTTCAGATGTGCAGCGCAATGGTGAGGGGCTTTTGCAAATCATAGGGGGAAAAAGAAAAAAAACGCTAGATCACTTACGTGAAAGCCCAATAGCACCAGTGTTTCTGCTAAGTTCATCTTCATCTCCGAATGGAAGAGACAGCTCCGCAGCAGTGTTCAGCTGTGCGTTTTTCTTGTTGTGTCATTCCTCCTCTTACTTTCCCGCTTGGGGGTGTTTTTTTTTGAATCACAGATGCTTGTCCTGCGTTTGGTTGTGAGCAGGCGGCGTGTCGTGAACTCCGACTGAATGCCATACTTATCAGGTGGTTTGGATCTTCAGTGATCGTATTGGGTGACCACGCCCTTTTCATAAACCCCCAAAATGGCGAGGGGGGGTCCTCGAGTTTCTCCAGGGTTTCCTTTGCAACATGCCCAAAAGTGTACCCCTAAGAGCCCTCGAAGTATGATCATAAGGCTTGAAAAAAGCGAGCAAGCGGCCAAGGCACCTCAGGCACTTGCAACTCGCTACTTGCAATCCGCGCTAAAATGTTCACGCCTCCCCGCTCCCACTGAACAGTGCCAGGGACCGGGGTCCTCTTTAGTGCATTGACAAGGCTTAGCTCTGACTCTCAGATTCCCAGTAATTACTTGCTTCAGTGTTGCCAATTCTAAATGTAGGATTGCAAAGCCTTACCCTTCAGATTCCCAATGCTTATTTTAGTATGTATTGTGGATTCTCAATTTAGTAGTACTTACTTTAGGATTGCCAATTCTACATTTAGTATTCCCAAGACCTCAGAGTCCCAGCACTTCATATAGTATTACACATTCTATACTTCTAGTATTGCCAAGGATTTGACTTTTGAGCTAGAAAGAGCTCAAGATATCTTAAGATCAACCACCCTTCAAAAGTAAACTGCTAAGAGTTTGATGTGGGAATTTCCCAGCCCCCAAAAAGAGTGCGACGTAGAAACGAACCACGAGACAGTCAGCTTGCACAGAATCAGGGCCTCCTGTGGACAACCAACTTTGTGCAACTGTTTGTACTTACTTTTGTACAGCTAGGTCGCCCAGTAGTGCCCTTTTACCCTTTTTTTTTGGGAGGGTTCCGATACTAGAATAGACAGAGAAAAGTTGGTACCCTTAACCTCTCTGGAGGACCTCAGAGAAGCAAGTTTCATTTCAGATCTGAGGCCTGAGAGCCCTTTGGCCTGGGAAGTGTTTAGGAACCGTCTAAAAGCGACACGGGAAAATCCAACCCCCCAAAACACGCGGGCAAAGCGAACCATGAAACAGTCGAATTAAACAACAAATCATGGCCTCTTTTGGGCAGCCCCCTTTGTGTGATTGTTTGGCCTTACTTGTTGTTAAATAAAGATGTTATCTTAAAGTTGATGGTTTGGGGACCGCTTCAAAATGGGAATTCTTAATGTTTGCCCGGATTGTTTGCTCAATGACTTTTGCCGATTTGTTTGCCCGGATTTTGTTTGGCTGGCTTCAATCGTGATTGAAGCTAACTCGAAACAGTCACACGATTCTGAATTAGGAAAACAGGTTGGTTATACCAGCGATTTCAGGATTCAAAGCGGCCCTAACAGTACGTGAGAAATTATGCTGGGATTTTAAAAGGGGGTAGTGCACTGTACCTCCTCAGAAGGTCCTTGGACTTTGACGGGATCACGTCAAAGATTCTTCCGGCGCTGGATGGAGTCCATGACGAGTTTTTGAATGAACAAGCACTTGCGACCTTGGATGTGGATCCAGCAAGAATCAAGAGACCATCCGGTCACCTATGGATGATGGGTTCCTCTTCTGCATGGAGGAGATAAAATGACAGATCGAAGTTCCCCCCCTTCCCCTTCAGGCTACGTGTTGGCAGGTTTCCTTAGGTCCTTCGCGCAGGTGATCTTGGTTCTGGACACCAAGACGCTTGAGGATGGGATGTCGGGGTGGATGACTGAGGCTCTGCAGGAAGCAATATGATCCTTCCATATTCAATCAGTTGGGCTTCTTTAGATTAGCAACATTTACTTCAACACGGTCATTGAGTGAGCCACCCCTGATTAGCAACGTTCTCCGAATTGGCCGAAGCTGACATGATCGACAAGTTGCAGACCTGGTCATCAGGATTCGTTTGTTAGCTCGTGTCCCCACAATCAAAATGTCATGTGGTTTGGCCGCCTGGCGAGCAGGGAAAAGGAGCAAGAAAATGCCCGCCCACCGGGGTGCTTTCTAATGAGGTGAGCCGCTCTCATGTGAGCCATCAATACAACTGTGACTGGGGAATGGACACCAAGGAATTTGATAAGGGGTTGATCAAGTTGGTTCTTTGCCCCACTAGATGCAATTTCGTGCACACTTGCCCCTCACGAGCCACAGGCTTACTGAACTCACATGCCCAATGATCTGCTGCTCGTCTTCGAAGAAGAGTCCACACGTCAAGCCAAAGCGCGAAGCCCGTCCTTTCGGCTCCTGCAAGTGATCGTACTAAAGGTCCAAAGCAAGGGTGCAATTCCAATCCCAAGGATTGCCACCTTGACCGCATTCATGGCAGAACGTCGTTTTGTAGTTCACGAGAATCATGAAAACTCAGGTTTGCCTTGAACGCCCTTGATTTGCTCCAGGAATCCCCAAAAAAGCGCGGGAGATGTTGTTCAAACGATGGTTGCAAGAACATAGATAGTGTTTGTATGTTTGGAATCACCGACTATCTTAAACAACAACTCCTTTCCCTTCAGGTCGCCATGAATCATGTGACCAATCTTTGCAACTGGCAACTTTTGGACAGACATAGTTTTCTCTATACTTCCCTTTGAGGTCTTCTGAGTTGGTTCTACTTTTGGCCCAGTTTTAGTGACCAACCTTTGCAAGGTGATGTTCAAGGGGAAACTTTGGGGAAGCTCACAGAGAGCTGCCCATTGTGAAGCGCAGGAGCTTCAACGCTTTCCGGTGCCCACGCGGATATGCTCCATGCCCGGAGCCCTTGGAAGATGAGCACCTGATTTTGTGAGGGGCGTGCTCCCGCGGTTCTCCGCTTTGAGGGTTTCAACCACAAAGCACGTACTCTCTTTTTTTCAGGGCTTTCGCTGTAAAGCGTGGTTGTGGGACAAAATGTGGGGTAGACTGCCACTTTCTGATGGAAAAGAACTGGACATCCCGATGAAGAAGTGAAGTCAGGCACAAGGAAAGGGAAGGTATCCTACTTTCGTATCACACAATGGGGGGTATGTCCCAGAACCGAGCGGAACCCGGCTGTACTGGTAATTCTCGAGAAAGCATCTAGTGGTTTTTGGACCAACGGTTGCCCCAATTATCCTCCGCTGTCGGAATTTTATCAGCATTTCCTCAGAGTTGGACATTGGTGGGTCACCTATTGGAAGGTGAACTGGATGTGTGCAAGCAGTACTACTGTGTTGCCCGGTAGAATCTCTATGGGAGGTTGGGATCGATTCCTGCGAAGCTTCTGCCTCTGAGTTCCATTGCGAGATCCAATCCGGAGGTTGGGCTCCAGGCGCTTGACAGGGTTGTTTGGTTTGAGGGCATACTTTTTGCAGTCGGCTTAGAAGGGGCACTGCAAGGAAAACGCCCGTGTTCAGAGGCTTTTTCATGTTCAGTGGTTCTTTCAGGGTTTCCCCAAACGAAATGCGCCGTGAGCTTCGCATGAGCTTCGCGCCGGCCCAGGCATGTCGTCATCGATCCTGGAGGCAGCAGGATCAGAAATGGGGACATAGGTGGCCGTTTGGATCAGTGTGGTTGAGCATTCCGGATCTCCAGTGGTCCCTCGAGAAACAATACTACAAAGAAAGGTACGATTTCTTGTTTATGGCCACTGGTTGCTGTTCCAGCCGCGTGATGTTGTTTCTCGGTATCTCGAGAGGTCGGATACTGTTTGGAATGGGAGTCCTCCATTTGGCCGTATGAACAGTTGGCCAACTGGTGCGGTTCCGGATGTCGCGAACACACAACTTATGCGGTGTACATATATATATATATAGATATATAACTGTCGCACAACTTGCCACAAATCTCTTACCACGCACCTTCCACGCATCATCTGGCTGTCATTGCGCAACTTGCCACACATCAGACGTTGCTTTGGGTTAGCTTCTCCACCCAAAAGCCGTAGGTTGAATCCTGTGACGCCCGAGCTCGTTCCAGGCTGGGCGCTTTGGGCCGGCTCGGCCCAGGGCCATCTGCTCCGGCACAGCCAGGGCGAAGGCTCGAGCCCAGTCGACCTCAAACCTTGGTGGTGCCCAGCTATCCGGTTCGATAGCTTTTTAGCGTTTTAGTTGGTTTAGTGGGGATTGCCATTTAACCCACAAGTTAAACTTTTGGCTGGGGATCTGATGGCAGCCCAGAAACTACCCTGAACAATGCAATGTTGCCCCAAACCTTCCAAGGAAAATACCCAATTTTTTGAAGGGTAGTTTGAGGCTCCATGTACCCCAAGGTAAACTTAAAGCCAGGGATGGTGGAATCCACAAGCCTCGCCTTTTTCGCGTGGGCCATTCGCCATCCCACATGCTATGGCTTAAAATTCACGTGGGCGCCCACCTGTTGTCCCCACCTTTCCTTTGGACTGAACTCCGGGCTTTCACAGGGGCCACACCTTGCACGCGAGATCATCCGTCAAAAAGCCGTTTACCACAAAGAGCCAAAAGGTAAGTCCTAAACTTCAATAGGCAGAATTGCAATCTCAACCCCAAATCCCCCGATTTTTTGCTTTGCCTACGTGCTGGGGTCGGTGCCTCGTGGGGTTCAGAGGCGCCTCGTGGCGATTGGGCGCCTCACCCCTGCGCCTTCGACCGGCCACCGGCGCTGCCGAAGCGCTGGCGGTTTCTGCAGAGGGGGTTGGGGCCCCGGATTTTTTTTCGGCCAGCCTTGGGAAATTTGGTTGAGGTTGGCATGTGCCAAGCCAACTTATTGGCTTCGTGGCTCCGTGTTTTGAATCCAAAAGGGCGTCCCCACACCCGGCATCGCCCAAAGCCAAAGTATTATGCTCGAACAGGGGGGTTCAGCATAACGGCCAACATTGGCGCCTTGAGCGGCCCTTGGGAACCTCTCCCAAAACAGGATACATACTCTCAAAGGTTGCCCGAAGTTTGGCTGGCCAGCAATTCAAGGTTTCGATCAATTCGTGTTTCTGACCCCCCCCCCGCTGCCAAAAAGACGCTGTTGATGTGGCCCATTGCCTCCAAATGGTATGATGCTGAAAAGGAGACGACACTGGCCGCTTCATCTTCAGGCCCCAGTCCGCCCGCAACCGACCTCATTCACAGGGATTCAGACCTGCTCCATTCAAGCAACTCTCAAAAGTCCTCGGCATGCTGACAATTCAGTCACTGCAGGCACTGGCAGTTTGCATGAGTCATGCATCGGTTGCAGCACCAGCACGGGGTTTGTTCTGTTCGATCTCAATGACTCAATCCTCTCACCGTCGCGTTTGTCTCTGAATGAACAGACTGTCTTCAGGCTTGCGAACAGCGTTGCTCTTTTTGAGCAATCGGAAATTCGGGTTTGCAAGCTGGGGCTTGTGAGCAATCACATGCGGCATTCTGCCAGCATTCGCTTTCAGTCAAGGTGCGTCATGTCAAAATCAAGAGCAAATCGTTCGATTTCATGAAGGCCCCGCAGCATGTGCTTGGACTCTCAGAAGCAAGCATCAGTAAGTGTGAACCCTTTAGGGAGAGTCTCAGCCGAGCCTATGAGAAAAAAAATCCGGGAGAGTTTCATGGAAATCAGTACTTTTGGATCTGGAATGTGGCAAAGTTGTTGGGGCGCTCGAAGCTCAAAGACCTTTCAAAGTCGCAGGCTATCAGTGAGGCATGCTCATGATTGGTAGGTTGCCAAAATGCCCATATGATGCTAACTAATATGTATCCATGTTGTTATGCCTGGCAATACAAAAAAAGTAAAAGGTATAGTTGTATTTTCAACTTTTCCCCCGAGCAGCCTGTTTGACACCCAGACAACTGTGCGCATGAGGCCTTTCTGCTGGCGACGGCTGGAGATTTCACGCCTTGCCTTTGGCCCTCGGACCTGGTCTTTGCCCGGCGCCCGGAGGTTATTTTGCAGTTATTATTATTGTTATTATTATCATCATTATCATTATTATTGTTATTATTATTATTATTATTATTATTATTATTATTATTATTATTATTATTATTATTATTATTATTATTATTATTATTATTATTATTGTTAGTATTATCATTATTATCATTATTATTATTACTATTATTATTACTATTATTATTATTACTATTATTATTAGTAGTATCATTATTATTGTTAGTATTATCATTATTATCTTATGTGTTTGTTTTAATATGTTGTTATTTGCTTTTTTGTTCGAAGGTGTTCTAGTTGAGTGTCACGTGTTTTTGTTTTTTTTCTGGTGAATGGATCAGGCTGGCTTGTGTTCTCAATATATGTGACATGCGGGCTTTGGAGAGATTTGAAGATTGCCCGGTATTGTAGGGCCTTGGGTATCTCAGGGTTTGGGAAGTGGATGACTCACTCCCGGCTGAGTGGTACAGGGTGGTTCTCAAATTTAATGGGAGGGTTAAGGCTCCCCTATGTCGCTTTGCAGAGATCAAGTCCGACATATTAGCCAGTCTATTTGGGGGTGTTGACAAAACGGCGAGCCGCTTCCATGCTGCCGAAACGGCTTCCCCCACAAATAGCAACTGATGAGAAAGACAGTGTGTGTGTGTGTTTGTTTCTGAGGTTTCCCCGTTTTGACTGCTTTTGGAGGCATGCCAAGAAGGAAACCTGATGCGTGCCAACCGCGGCCATTGCAAGTCCGTCCACTCCAAGGCACATCCCTGCGGCGACAAAAAGATGCTCGTGCTTTCCAGAGGCGCGTGTTCGCGAGTTACATAGACCAATTGGCTGTGGACCAAAACCTGCGGTCCGCTGGTGGCTTAATTTTGATCCATACCCAATTGCAGAGTCCGGGGTGTGAATTTGGCTTGTGTCCACGAATGCTCAGGGAGGGCTTCCCTATTGAATTTCATAGAGGTCAGTGGAGTTTATTCCTGCGCGATGCAAAAGCGATTGGATGGTGTGAACAGTCCCATGGCTGCAGGACCACCCGCCCCTCTATGAAGGGGATGTGGATTTCTCTTGGAACTGACATCCTCTTGGTAGATGAGTGTTCAACTAGTAAACAGGATGTGTTTTTGTGCAGTGGCAGTTCTGCCCTCAGATGCTGCAGGAGAGATGCAGGTCATGGCTCGCAATCCCCATGCATGGGCTTCAGTGCGGGTTGCGGTTGCAGAGAAAGTCCGTGGCAGGAATTCAATCTGCAAGCGCAGTGACGCATACAGTTCTGCTGTCGTGGGGTGTTGAAGTGTGTCCTTCAACACCGTCCTTTAAGTCCGTGTTCCACATGCTACTATTTTTCTGAGACTATTCAGAGCACTCGTGTGACGCGCGCTCTCATCACACCCTTGTTGTCGCTCATTCCGTGTGCAAGATCACGAAGCCTAGAATGCCAATGCATTAGAGATTTGCGGCAGCTTCGTTTGCCAGCAGCTTTCAGAAGCCTTCGCGATGAGCAGTCCAAGACCGTGCAAACATGTTTAGATGAAGCCAGGTAGTCTCTGTCGTTTTTGGTTCTGCGGACCTTTGAAAGCTAAGATTGTACCCGACCAAAAGTGGAAGCAAATCTGCCGTTTCCTCTTTCCTTTCAGCACCCCCCTTTTGGGTCTCAAGGGAAGCCAACAGGCGACACATTCTTGGGTCGCCCAAGCCAGGCTCCGGGGGCCTGGTGCTGGCCAAAGCGCCCATCACCGCCAAACGCGAGGCGGGCACGGTCCGTGGGAGTTGTCTCGAGAACTGGTGTGTTTCAGGCTTATTTCGAGGTGCCAGTCAAGCGCTAAATAAGGTTCGAACTCCCTGGGCAGGGGCGAGAAACCGGGCGAGCAACCCATTATTGAACACCCGGGTTTTGTGGGCCCTCCAAAGCACCAACCCAAACCATTCCCAACAGGTTGTTTTTTTGGTGGTTGAGTTTAAAGGAAACCCCGTTTTTTGGTGGTTGGTTTTTCGTAGTTATTTTTTGGTAGTTGTTTTTGGGCAGTTCTAAGAACAAAACACATTTCCCGTGACTCGATTCGGAACTGAGGCCCACAGGGTCCTGCGCAGCACCAAGCTCTGCGGGGAGGCGCTTGGCTGTCCGGGTTGATTCATCATCTTTCCTTCTTTCTTTCTTTCTTTCTTTCCTTGTTTCTTTCTTTCTTTCTTTCTTTCTTTCTTTCGTTCTTTCTTTCTTTTTTTCTTTCTGTCTTTCTTTCTTTCTTTCTTTCTTTATTTCTTTCTTTCTACTTGTTCTTTGCTTCTTCTTCTTCTTTTGGGGTGAGGGGTGTTTGGGCTTGCTAAATCACCGGCATGTTGCGCGTCGCTTTTCTCAAAGGAAGCCACACGGGGGTAGTAAAAGCGGTTAATCTGTCTAAGCTTCTCCTCGAATGCACGCACGCTTGTTTGTGCAGGTTTGAACGCTGGGCCAGACAACTGTTAAAATGGCTGCTTTATGAAAGGGCATTTAGTTAGTGGCAGACATTCTATGCCGCAAGCAGTGTTGCTCCATGTGGTTGGAGAAAGCCCTTCTCAGCGGCGTACCTGAAAATTCCCTTGAAGGACAGTGTCAGGTAAGGGTTCGGAGGCAGGCTCTTTCAGGTTGCGCGCGATCCTTGAATTGCCTGCACACAAGAACCGAGAGAGCTTATAATATGAGTCACGAACACCTGCGCCCATGCAATCACACGCAGGAGGAGCACAGAGCGACCCCTGCCAGCTTTTTCGGTTGCTGCACCATCGCAAAACAGGTGGACCCAGCCGTCACTGCTTGTGGATTTCTTGGAGTCTGCAAGTAAATCAACGTGCTTGGAACCCGGAGGAATGGACCGCAAGTGAGTTTTCTAGCCCATCCTTGCAGTGAGTTCTTCAAATTGTGAGCATGTTCCATTGGTGGGCCATTCACATCGTTTGTTCTGGAAATGTTGTTCGGCCTATCCATGTTGAGAGGCGATTCGAGGTCCAAAGTTTAGACCTCGAGTTGCAGGAAAACACACCGCAAGCCGTGGTGTTGCAACCACGAAAGGGCGTCATTATTGGTGTCGACACTTCACCCTACGCAGAGCATGGTGTTAGATTTAAAAGCTGACCTCTGGGAGAACAAGACTATCTCGTTCTCTCCCGATCGCCCTCTGTGTGTTGTGTTTCTGTGGGTGCAAGAAACTTCCCACTCCCACATTCCCGCCCCCTCCCCCCCCCGGCCAAGGAGTGTGTGTGCCCGTATGTTTGTCTCTGTGTCTGTGTCTGTGTCTGGGTCTGTCTCTTCGTGTGCGTCAGTGGCTGCGTCTGTGTTTGTGTCTGTGTGTGTGTCTGTCGCGTTTGTGTGTGTGTGTATGTCGTTGTTAGTCGGTGAAAGAGATTTCCCCCTGCCACATTTCGCCAAAAGCAGAAGCAAAAGAATGAGTCTTTCAGAGTCTTTCAGAGTCTTGCCAGCATAGCCCACCAGCCCCCTTTGAGCCATTGCCAGGTTCTGTCCTTGGCCTTCAAAGCGGATCCGCCGGCCATCCTCGTGCTGGCGCAGGCGGCCTTTCGAGTCGAGGGAACCAAAAGGTACAGGAGTACAGCGCACGGAGGGCTGTGGAACTGCCCAGGTGGCTTTTTGTTGGGGTACCCCCTTTTGGGTCTGGAAAAACTGGCAGGACAAACTCATGTGTCCACACAGGGTGTTGCGACGCAACTCGATAGCCTACCATAAAACATGGCCCCAGGCCAGAAATGGCACAACGGTCGCATTTGACCCTGCCTCAATCTCTGTCGGCTGGGACCCTACCATGGCCGGGGTAGGATCAGATGTGACGTGGAATTACTCTGGCCCTGCGCCGGGTCAGTGGTTTGTTTCAAACCTACACCCTGAAAGCTCTGCACCTAAACCCTGAAGTCCCTATAGCAAAACCCTGCAGACCCTAAACCTAAACTCTAAAAATCTGACCCTAAAAGTCCGACTCCTAAGCCCTAAAACCCTGAATCTAACATCCTAAACCCTGAAAACTCTAGACCCAAACCCTAAAAACCTAAACCTAAACCCCCACCCTCAATGTCAACCTAAACCTCACCGGATTAAATGTGACGCGGTCATAGTGACATGTTCCTTGGTCGAAGCGGGGTAAGGGACAAACACGACTGTCAAGTAGGGTCGCATGCAACTGTCGCACCAACAGAAGCAGAGACAGACAGACAAACAGACAGACAGGCAAACAGACAGACAGACAGACAGACAGACAGGCAGGCAGGCAGGCAGGCAGGCGGACAGACAGACAGGCACAGAGGCAGACAGAGAGAGAGACAGAGAGACTGAGAACTGACTGAGAGACAGGGAGACAGAGAGACACCGGGAGACAGAGACAGACAGAGACAGACAGTGAGACAGAGACAGACAGAGACGGACAGAGACAGACAGTGACAGACAGAGACAGACAGACAGACAGACAAAAAGACAGGCAGACAGACAGAGACAGACAGAGACAGTCAGTTCCAGAGACAGACAGTTCCAGAGACAGACAGGGACAGATAGAGAAAGACAGGCGCGAGAATGACAGGGACAGACAGAGACAGATCACCCTTGGTGCCAACAGAGTCAACTGACTCAGCGCCTGTGCCTTGCTGACATCCCTTTTGCCAATCTCGTTGCACGCCCAACACCACACTCGCAGCTTGTCACCCCACTGCCTGCTAGCCACAGCTCTTGGCGGCTCCGTCGCCTCCGCATACATAAGCAGATTCTTCTTGCACAATCCATTCACATTTCAATTGTGGCAAGCCATTCCTATCAGAATAGTGTGTTGCAATTCTAGTTTGTTTCATGTGCGATTATTGTCTATTGAAATAAAGTTTGGGCAAACGTTCTGTTTTGTGGAGGGGGGCGGGGAGTTCCCAGGGTGCAAGATTGCACAGGAAACTTTTGAGGCATTCTTGGATCCTGGGGCACCAATGGCTGGGAAAAAATGACGAGTGCCGCATGATACTACATTTCTACCAAGGCAAATCCATGTTTTTGATGCACTTTCCTGGCTTTGGCTTGGCTCAGTTTGCGCTTCACAAAAGCTCGAATGAGATTATCAGATAAGCAAAACAAACACTTTTGCGTTCAAGTTGATTCCGACTGCAACTAGACATGTTTTGTCCAAACTGGGCTTTTATTCGAAGCATACATGGGAGCGCAAAACACTCACATTGAATTTGGTTTGATACTTGAACACTGTAGCTTTTTTTGCGCACGGGGTTTCTTGATGGGTCAGAAATTGCAGGAAAATCAGCGCCGACATGTCCAGTGTGTTTGGCCGGGGTGCAGGTTCATGGGGGGCGGGCTACCATGTTTGTTGTGAATGCAACAAATCTATTATATATATAATACATATATATATATACACATACATCTGTGCTAGATTTGTGGTCACTGCCTCACCCCGAACCGTCCATGCCAGCTCTCTGCGAAAGAGCGGCGAGCGCTCCTGACGCTGGACCGACACCTGCAGCTGCTGGCGCTGGTGCCCCTGGAGGACTGGAGGAGGGAGGGATCCGAAGGGCTCAGCCACTTTTTAAAATGAAGTCGGGAAGTGCGCTGAGCCCGCGGCTGTGACGTTCATCTTAGCCGCAAGATGAGCTAGGCAAGACTTGTTTAAGTCAATCAGCCATGGGTCACCTTTCAACAGAGCAGGAGGTGTGTGTTTAAACAATTGTTGAAACAGTTGAAAACCAAAGGGGTTGGCCCAGCCCCTGAGCCATTGAAAGGGCGAAAACATGAAGAAGGTTGCACACAGAATCGTCGTTCCCTGCAAAATGCCACAACC